AGTGGCACCACGTGGCCGTGGTGTGGGATGGAGCCTCCGGTCAGCTGCAGCTGATCACGGAGGGACTGATCGCCAGCAAAATGGAGTACGGAGCGGGTGGAGTGCTGCCTGCCTACCTTTGGGCAGTACTGGGACGTCCCCAGCCTTATGGATTGTCCCACGAGTTGGCCTACTCCGACTCCGGATTCCAAGGAACCGTAACCAAGGCTCAGGTGTGGGCGAGAGCACTCGACATCACATCGGAGATCCAGAAGCAGGTGCGCGACTGCCGCTCCGAGCCGGTCCTCTACCCCGGACTCATCCTCAACTGGGCGGGCTACGAGGTGACCTCCGGTGGAGTGGAGCGCAACGTGCCCTCTCTGTGTGGACAGCGCAAGTGCCCCGTGGGCTACACGGGTGCCAATTGCCAGCAGCTGGTCGTCGACAAGGAGCCACCTGTGGTGGAGCACTGCCCTGGCGACCTGTGGGTCATTGCCAAGAACGGATCTGCGGTGGTCACCTGGGACGAGCCGCACTTCAGCGACAACATCGGCGTGACCAAGATCTACGAGCGAAACGGCCACCGGTCGGGAACCACTCTGCTCTGGGGCACCTACGACATCACCTACATCGCATCCGATGCCGCCGGCAACACGGCCTCCTGCAGCTTCAAGGTTTCCCTGCTGAGTAAGTGTTTCCCAAGGGCTTTAATTTAACTCTAGAATCGCAAAATAATGAATAACGTGATTGTGACTGCAGTCTCGAGATTAATATGTTTTTTATTTTAAAAGTCATAGTTATAGCTATATTGATCAGAAAACACTAACAACTACTTTAAAAAGCAATTTAACAACAATTCAATAACAATTTAAATTCTTATCTTCTAGCCGACTTCTGTCCCGCTCTGGCTGATCCTGTTGGAGGATCGCAGGTGTGCAAGGATTGGGGAGCAGGTGGCCAATTCAAGGTGTGCGAGATTGCCTGCAATGCGGGTCTGCGGTTCTCGGAGCAGGTTCCGGAGTTCTACACCTGCGGAGCGGAGGGCTTCTGGCGCCCCACGCGGGAACCCTCGATGCCCCTGGTCTACCCGTCCTGCTCTCCTTCGAAGCCCGCCCAGCGGGTGTTCCGCATCAAGATGCTCTTCCCCTCGGACGTGCTGTGCAACAAGGCTGGTCAGGCGGTGCTCCGCCAGAAGGTCACCAATTCGGTGAACGGACTGAACAGAGACTGGAACTTCTGCTCGTATGCCATCGAAGGAACGAGGTTTGTTTTGGAGTTTCTCCTTTTGGGGTTCCCCTTCTAATAAATCCTCTTCTCTATTTTCCAGGGAATGCAAGGACATCCAGATCGACGTGAAGTGCGATCACTACCGCGCTGCCCAGAACAACCGAGTGCGCCGACAGGCCAAGGATGGCGGTGTCTACGTGATGGAAGCCGAACTCCCAGTGGTCAAGTAAGTAGTCGTATGACTCCCAAGGATCCTAAGCATGTCTTGATCGCGTTTGTCCGTGTACACTGTGTATATGTTATATGTGTTCTGTGTGTTCGTTAACCCAATTTGCAGCGAGGAGGATGACGATCTCACTTTGACGGGTCGCCAGGGACGCCAACAAACTGGCGGCGATACATACACCCTGGAGATAGCCTTCCCGGCTGTAAAGTATGTCTAGCACTCCTTTGTTGGTTCACCCTTCGAATAACCAATTCCGACAACTGCACCCGATCTGCCCAGCATCAATCTCAATCTGCACCCAGTACTACCAACTATATAACCAGCAACCGTCTCAGCCTAATACAAAATCCATCCAATCCAACCAAGCAATCGACCAATCTAATGCTTTTCTAACCTCATGTTTCATGTCTATGCGTGCTAACCCAAATTTAAAGCTTGTGTTTAATGTTCTAAAAGGGTGTTGGGGGTCACAAAAGAAATCCATTTTAAATATTAATTTTTTTGTTAAACACTGAAATTAAACCTTTTCCAGGTTTGACTCTCGAGTGAGTTTCCAGAATTCAATTATTGAAAAAATTAATAGATTTAACAATCAATGCAATTGGTAGCTTTAAACGAACTGTTTTTTAATAATTCTTTGATATTCCATAATCTACATATGTATGTATGAGTTGATTGACCAGTGTTAGGTAATAAAGTTTATTTGATTATGACATTGGTCAAAGCCCTTTTTAAAGTAGTATAAATTACCTCAGATACTTTTGTGACTCCTTCTAACAACTCTTCATCTGGACATTACCTCTTGTTTGCTAATCATACGGATAAGACACTGTCATGCAACCGAAACTAATCCCGAATTTTTCTGTCAATCTGCAGCGATCCAGTGGTGCACACATCGACTGGTGAACGATCCAGTGTTAAGCAGTTGCTGGAGAAGCTCATTCTCGAGGACGACCAGTTCGCGGTGCAGGAGATCCTGCCGAACACGGTTCCCGATCCCGCCTCCCTGGAACTGGGATCCGAGTACGCCTGTCCGGTGGGCCAGGTGGTGATGATCCCCGACTGCGTGCCCTGCGCCATCGGAACCTTCTACGACAGCGCCAACAAGACCTGTTTGGCCTGTGCCCGCGGCACCTACCAGTCGGAGGCCGGCCAGCTGCAGTGCAGCAAGTGCCCGGTGATCGCAGGACGACCCGGAGTGACCGCCGGACCCGGAGCCCGCTCGGCGGCGGACTGCAAGGAGCGCTGCCCGGCCGGCAAGTACTTCGATGCGGAGACGGGTCTGTGCCGCTCCTGCGGCCACGGATTCTACCAGCCGAACGAGGGATCCTTCGGCTGCGAGCTCTGCGGCCTGGGACAGACCACCCGCTCCACGGAGGCCACCTCCCGCAAGGAGTGCCGCGACGAGTGCAGCTCTGGCCAGCAACTCGGAGCCGACGGAAGGTGCGAGCCTTGTCCAAGGGGAACGTACCGCCTGCAGGGAGTGCAACCATCCTGCGCCGCCTGTCCGCTGGGCAGGACGACGCCCAAGGTGGGCGCCAGCTCGGTGGAGGAGTGCACCCTGCCCGTGTGCTCGGCGGGAACGTACCTGAACGCCACCCTGAACATGTGCATCGAGTGCCGCAAGGGCTTCTACCAGTCGGAGTCGCAGCAGACCGCCTGCCTGCAGTGCCCGCCGAACCACAGCACCAAGATCACCGGCGCCACCTCGAAGAGCGAGTGCACCAATCCCTGCGAGCACATCGCCGAGGGCAAGCCGCACTGCGACGCCAATGCCTACTGCATCATGGTGCCGGAGACCTCGGACTTCAAGTGCGAGTGCAAGCCGGGCTTCAACGGCACCGGCATGGCCTGCACGGACGTATGCGATGGCTTCTGCGAGAACTCGGGTGCCTGTGTGAAGGACCTCAAGGGAACGCCATCCTGCCGCTGCGTGGGATCCTTCACGGGTCCCCACTGCGCCGAGCGATCGGAGTTTGCGTACATCGCGGGAGGAATCGCCGGAGCGGTGATCTTCATCATCATCATCGTCCTGCTCATCTGGATGATCTGCGTGCGCTCGACGAAGAGGAGGGATCCCAAGAAGATGCTCACCCCGGCGATTGACCAGACCGGATCGCAGGTGAACTTCTACTACGGCGCTCACACTCCCTACGCGGAGTCCATCGCCCCCTCGCACCACAGCACCTACGCACACTACTACGACGACGAGGAGGACGGCTGGGAGATGCCCAACTTCTACAACGAAACGTACATGAAGGATGGTGAGTAGTGCAGGAAGTAGGAAGTACGAATAGGAAGATGATATAGAAAAAGATATTTCCAATAATAAGATACAAGATAAAAGTTAGGAAACTATAAATGATAGCTTCACCATATAAGTTCCCTACATATCATTAAAAATAGCAGGCTAATGAAAGAACTTATATTCCTAACGTAAATGATACATTTAAAGTACTAAAAACCATACAAATACTGAAGAAAATTACGGAAACTTAGGAACTAGAAATTAGTTGAGAGCTTGTGAATGTTATACAGGAATGAATAATATTAATTACTATAAATTACTAGATTTAAGACAGCAAAAAGTTAAATCAATTTTACTTTTTTTCATATCACCAAAATTTTATTAGACTGTTTCTTAAAGCAATTTGGGATGTAACTTTACTTTTTATTTTGAGTGATAGATTATCTTTACAAAAACATTTCCGCTTACCCTACCTAATAGACATTTTTGCGACAGGTCTGCATGCCGGCAAGATGAGTACATTGGCCAGATCCAATGCCTCGCTGTATGGAACTAAAGAAGACTTATACGACCGACTGAAACGTCACGCCTACACGGGCAAAAAGGGTAAGTTAACAAGCAAACCCAATCTTATGTATGATACTTTACTAACCATTTAATTTTGATTTCAGAAAAGAGTGATAGTGATAGCGAAGTGCAGTAAAACAACGAGTCGCGAACTAGGGAAGATAAATTACAGATAACAAGCTGCTTTAATGTAAAATGTGGTCATAAATATCGAATGGGACGCAGCGAGCACTCACTGTCAGAACAGTGATCCACCACTGCCCCAAAAATACTCACTGGGGAGCCTTGCATTGAATCAACGTAATAGCTGCGACCTCGTTTTCGATCCATCTTTAGTCCCAATCTCGGATATTACGTGGCTTAATGCAAGGCTTCGGGAGCGGATTGAAGTCGAGAATGGAGGAGATAAAGCTTAAATTAGTAATTCCCATATGTGCTCTTTAGGTATGCAAACTACATGAAATTAAGTCGAACTTATGCGTAATATAACGAATGAAATATTGTTTTAATCTTAAGTATTATTTACCTAAACAAGAAACTCGAAAATACCATGCTTGACGCGGTACCAAATTGCAATACTTATATACTTATATATAAACATAGATTCTTCAAACCGTACAGATTGTCCAAGCTTGTTGAACAAATTCGCGCGTGCTGTAAAAAGCAGATCAAATATAGTCGTTATTTTGTAATTTAATAAAAGCAATTTAATTATTATGTATGACAAATAATTTTATAATTTTCTTGTATAAAATAAAAGAAACAAACGAATCTAATTGAAGACGATCTCCGAGAAGTTCTTACTTATTGATCGAAGAAGGGGTTTTCGCTGCGGTGAAATTGGCTCACAAAGGACTTTCCACGACGTTGTTTGTGAGCCAGGTCCTTGTGCTTCCGAGGAGTTGGCTCAGTATTGGTCATCTTCTTCTTTGTACCCCGAACCATATGCTTCATGGCGTTGTCCATTCGCAGTTGCACCTTCGTGTGAACCAAGTAGTAGCAATCCTGCAGCATGTGAAAGTGGTCGGTGGCCTGGCTAGCGAGTGACAGGATCAAAAGGGACAGTGGCACCGTAACGCTGCCCACCCAGTAGCTCTCGTACTTCTCAAAGTGGTACCTCGTCACGAGTCCTGTGCCCACCAGTATAATCGCAATCAGGAAGAAGCATATTTGCTCAACGGACTTCCAGAAAACGTGGATGGCGATCTCCAATAATAGGAAAGACACTGCCAGCTCGTAGATCCGCTTCACAATCGTTGGCATAATCTCGAACCGGCGGGGAATAAAGCAGTTATCCCAAATGAGATCCATTGCAGCAATGGCCACAATCAGAGACGGAAAATCTGGCCCTCGAACCCCCGAACTCTTCGAGGATAACGCCACGTAGTTCATCAGGTGGAAAAAGCCGGCGGTGCAAACGCACAGGAAGGAAGTCATGCTTGCAAGTATCGCACTGATGTTTTACTTTAAATTTTTAGGGCAATTAAAAATATTTTATTTCTGTACGGAATGATTATTGATGACGGATAATTTTATTTAAAAACATGGTCAGAATATCAAAGGTTACTGCGAAAATGTATATACTTTACTTGTATACCCCCAGGTAAATTTAATAAATTCATAATTTTAATCATTTTTAGTTAAAATAGGTGCTTTAATTAAAAGCATAACCAACAACTATATTTTAAGAAATTCAATTCTTAAAACTGAAAGTTGAAATTACCATTTGGACCTTGCCATCGATTAATATTTATCGATCACTGCTTTCCTTCCCAACACTTATGGCGAAGTATATTTGCCATTAACGTTTATTGATAATAATGATACATTTAATTAAGGTAGTTAGTAAAGCTCGCGTCGCTGTATCGCTTCTTGAAACTCAACTGCTTTTCTCTCGTCGTTGCAAGTTTTTCCGCCAGGTTGGCAGGCTCTAGTTGGCGCTGCAACCATATGAGGTTGCCACAGTACTCCCCCTCCAGTGAATGCGTCACGAATCTTGGTTTGAAAATCTTACTCGTCGTTCGTATGTCCTGGTGATTTTAGGGGTAGCTTCATCTGAATCCAACTGTCGATCATCCTTCACTAAAAATGCTGGCTTGAGGCGATCAACTGACACTGATGTCTCATGACCATTGATTTTTATCGTAAAAACTCGATCGCTTTCGCGCCTGATGATTTCATACGGACCAGTGTAAGGGTTTTCCAAAGGCTGCTTGACGGCGTCAGTGCGAAGGAATACATGAGTACAATTATTGATCCCTTTCAACAAGAACAGTTTCTGCTTGGTATGATGTGCTGTCGGTGTCGGCCGCACTTTCTGTATATGCTCACGGAAAATGCTTAAGAAAACTGTTGGGTCAACCGTATCATCCAAGTCCGCAAAAAATTCGTTTGGAAGTCGAATAGGTGTTCCATAAACCATTTCGGCCGCGGAAGACTTGATGTCCTCCTTGAAACAGGTGCGAAGTCCAAGCATCACGGTTGGCAGTAACTGCGGCCACGGAGTACCACTGTTGCACATTAAAGATGACTTGAAGGATCTGTGCCACCTCTCTATGAGTCCATTTGACTGGGGATGGTAGGCAGTTGTGTGTATGTGTTTGCTTCCAACCAGATTGGCGAGGTGTTTAAAAACTGCCGATTCAAATTGTGTTCCTTGGTCTGTCGTTATCGTTTTCGGTGAGCCAAATCTAGATATCCAGTGGGTCCAAAACGCCGTAGCAATTGTTTCTGCAGTAATGTTTGAAAGAGGTACAGCTTCTGGCCACCGGGTAAACCTGTCAATCATCGTCAGACAGTACCGATAGTTTTGTTGCAGTGGCATGACTACAATGTCAAGATGGACATGATCAAATCTTCCGTTGGGTACTTCAATCTTCTCCGGCGATAGGTGGTTGTGCTTATGGATTTTTGAACGCTGGCATGGTAAACAAACTCTGCACCATTCGAGGACATCTTTGTTCATCGAGGGCCATACGAACTTCTGGCGCACCTGGCGGACTGTTGATCGACCACTGGGATGAGATAAACTGTGAATGGAAGAAAATACAGTATTTCGCAAAGATTTAGGTATATAAGGACGAACGCTTCCTGTCGATATATCGCAGTAGAGTGAGATGTTGTCATCAAATCGAATCTTTTGAAGTTTTAATGATGTAGCTCCGTGCAAAAGACGTACCAGCTCAGGATCTGATGCTTGATCCTCTTCGATTTGTGATAATTTTATAGCTGTCGGCATTGTTATGGAGCATAATCTCGAGAAGGCGTCTGCGACTGCATTCTCAGATCCTTTCACATGTAAAATCGTAGTGCTGAATTGGGAAATATAAGCCAAATGTCGAAGCTGTCTCGGCGATGCTTTCTCTGGTCGCTGTTGTAATGCGTATACGAGCGGCTTGTGATCGGTCTTGATTACAAAAATCCGTCCTTCAACAAGGTGTTTGAAATACCTAATGGATTCGAATATGGCGAGCAGTTCCCGGTCGTAAGTCGAGTAGTTTTTTTCTGTGGAGCTTAGCTTCTTAGAGAAAAATCCTAGGGGTCGCCAATTTCCGTCTGTGCGCTGTTCTAAAACTGCTCCGATTGCGAAATCGGAAGCATCGCAAACCAGCTGGAGTTCAGATTTTGCTGTGGGAAAAGACAAAAGCGCAGCGTCTGCTACACTTCGTTTGCAAGCTTCAAATGCTATATTGAGTTCTGGTGTCCACTCAATTTTGCGTTGATCATTCTTCTTAACATTTTTTAGCAACTCAGTGAGCGGTGCTTGTATGTGTGATGATCGAGCCAAACATCTGCGATAGTAATTTATGACGCCCAAGAAACGACCCAGCTGGCTTATATTTTCAGGGCGTGAATAATTTAAAATAGCATCTATGCGTTCGGTGGGTGGCTTAATTCCAAACTCGTTGATCGTATAGCTGAGGAAATTTACTTGCGGCTGTGCGAACTGGCATTTGCTCACGTTAATGCTTAAACCATGTTTCTGTAGAACTTCCAATACAGCTCGAAGATGTTCTTCGTGTTCAGCCAAGGATTTCGATGTTATAAGTATGTCGTCGATATAACAATAAACGAAGTCCATGCCGCGGAAGATGTTGTCCATAAAACGTTGAAATGTTTGAGTCGCGTTTTTTAATCCAAACGGCATGTACTGAAACTCGATCAGTCCAAACGGGGTGCACACCGCTGTTTTTTGGATATCGCTTTCTGCCATGGGAATTTGGTAATAGGCTTTGACCAAATCGAGTGTTGAGAAAATCTTCTTTCCTTGCAGTTGCTCCGTAAAGTCGTGTATATGGGCTATTGGATAGCGATCAGGGATTGTAATTAAATTCAACTTCCGATAATCTCCGCATGCCCGCCAGCCACCGTCTTTTTTGGTCACCATGTGTAGTGGGCTGGACCAAGGACTTTTTGACGGCCGGCATATGCCTTGTTCAATCAAGAAGTTTATTTCTTTTTTGGCAGTGGCAAGTTTGTCACCGGATAGGCGTCGTGGTCTATCAGCAACTGGTATACCATTTGTTTCTATATAATGACGAACGTCGTGTTGCGTGGATTTGTTGATAGAAGGTCTTGTCACGTTGACAAATTCGCTTAACAGCTTTTGAAAATTCGAAACACGCTGCACTGTGGAAACTGATATGTGTTTCGCTTGTGCTAGACATGCGGGCGTTGAAAGACCAGTAAGCGAGTCAATTAATCTTTGATTTTTAAGATCGATGAGCAATTGAAAGTTGCTCAAGAAGTCTGCCCCAATAATAGCTGTGTGCACATCAGCGATAATGAATGGCCAGGTGTAGTTTCGGCGGAGACCCAAGTTCAGCTGAGTTACGTACTTTCCATAAGTATGAATGACGGTCTGGTTCGCAGCGTACAGTTCCAAATCGTTTAGAGTGGTTTTTTGTCTAACCAGCGTTCGTGGTATGACGGAAACTACAGATCCTGAGTCGATCAGGAAACGGATGTGAGATGAGCGATCGGTGATGTGTAGACGCTGTTCCTGTGGAGCAGCTCGTTGTATTGTGGGTTCGCTGGTTAAGTACTTGCTGCCGTCGACCAGCGTGTTGGACGACAGCTCCTCTAGTTTAACGACGAGGAGCGGGAGCATGGGGGACGGCATTTGTGGGCGTTTTCTCCAAATCGCTCGTGGTAGTAACATAGCTTCTCTTGGGACTCGGAGGACTGGTAATTAGCATTTCCCGTTTGTGGTCGGTTACGCGATGGGCTGCGGGAGCGACCTTGGAATTGGAGACGTTTGACATCCTTTTGTAAATCATCAAACTTTTGTGAAAGCGAACGCAGCTGCTCGTTGACTTTTTTCCAAGGATCTTCGGTGGAAACAGCGCAAATGGATGAATCAGCAGCAGTCGAAGTGTTCGTGCTGATGGCGAAAGTAGCATTGTGGTTCACTGCTTCGAGCATTTTGTCTGCGATTTTGGCCAGCTTATCCAGATCGGTCTCTTCCCAGACGGTGAGGGTAGGGCGAATTGATGCCGGCATCTCTGCCAGGAAAAGTGTGAGGATAATGTTCTCGCTGCCCGGATCCGGAGCTAGTCGACGCATGTTGGCCAAGATTTCGGATGGTTTCAGACCAGATGTATCCCCACCTTGTAGCAGTCGGCGTAGTTTCGACTCTGGGGATTCAGAATACTTTTGTAATAAGCGATTCTTTATTGCTACATACTTGTTTTCGTCAGGTGGTCGAATGACTAAGTCTTCCACAGCCAAAACCACATCCGCCTCCAGGTGAAGAGTGACAAGGTCGAACTTGTCGGTGTCGTCCACGATGTGGTGTAATCGGAATGAGCGCTCCACTTGCGCAAACCATAGCTGAGGATTGCTATGTGCGAATTTCGGCAAGTGAATTGTCGTACGTGTGCGTGTGTGAGTAGTCTCATCTCGGTTACAAGGGACACTCGTCCGAAGTGCCTCAAGTTGCTGTTGCAGATCTCGGATTTGTGCAGTTAAATCAGGATTGGAATCCGGCATGATGAAAGATGATGAATCGGCTGGATCGCTTTCTTCGTCGAAATAAAGGCGTCTTCCTTTTATATTTCTTAGATCGTATTGGCGTCTTCTCATTAAATGCGCAATTTCTGATTGCGAAAGTGCATGTGTGTGTTGCGAATTTCAAGAAATAAAGTTAATTTCGCACGATGATCAGGGTTTTAATGTTTTAACTTGTCGGGGTCACCACTATGGCGAAGTATATTTGCCATTAACGTTTATTGATAATAATGATACATTTAATTAAGGTAGTTAGTAAAGCTCGCGTCGCTGTATCGCTTCTTGAAACTCAACTGCTTTTCTCTCGTCGTTGCAAGTTTTTCCGCCAGGTTGGCAGGCTCTAGTTGGCGCTGCAACCATATGAGGTTGCCACACACTGTTTCATCTAACGCCACCTAGCGCTCATTTGCAAAAGACGTTGTAGTAACTGGCGGTTTAATTCAAATACACTTATAAATATTACAAAATGAAATGTGAAAGCTTGCTTTGAGCATATTTATTTGAAAAATAGATTCAATAAGGCAACCAAGTGCCAATGCGTCGGGTGATTTTGAAGTGCCTTGCACATATATGTATATATGAATACCGGAGTCGGATCTGTTCATATTGCTTTTGTATAACGATCTAATTTGCATTTTGAGTACGGAGGCCTATTCCTTGCGCGCAAGGTAGATCAAGCCGAGAGCCAGGCTGCAGAAGAGTATGGGATAGCTGAACTGCAGTAACTTGCGACCAATTAGGCGTCGCAGGAAACCAGGCTGCTTGCCATCCTGAATGGCATCATCCCGATCCTCCTCGTCCTCGGTTTCCGTACCCGAAACCTCCCCCGATTTATTGTCCTCCGCGGCTTCGTTTCTGGGCGAGAATTGCACGGCCTCGGCCTTTTCTTCAGCTCCAATCAGAAGGAGGTGGCGCAGGAGCTCCGCATTGTGCTCCGGATCGAAGAGCTTCTCCAAGGGAACCATCCTGCGATCGCTCTCCACGGATCCATCGTTCGAGGGACGGGCGGCCAATCCTTCTACCGAAGTGGTGGAAAGGCTCTCGTCTGCTGGACGCGTAAACTTCTGGCCCAATACATCGGGACCTCTCACGAACTGCTCCCTGAGTAGCCTTTCCTCTTCGGTTTCGCAACCACCGTTTATGGCCATCTCGAGTTCGTCCAGCAGAGATTCGATTACAGGTTTCTGTGCTTCCGTGTCCTCTGCTTCATCAGAGGGCTCCTGGATAACAATCTGCGGATAGTCCTCGCTTGGCTCTTGGGCCAACCGCTCAAAGGATGCCACGGAATCCGTTTCATCCTTTCCAGGAGACTCCTCTGGTATAGAAGTTGCCTCGTCTTCAGGAGTTGCCTTTTTATCAGCAGTTTTCTTTTTCTCTGCAGTTTGTAAAGGATCCTTTGCAGGTTCTTCATTGCTTGATCTCCGATCAGGATCAATTAATTGTGATTTTTGGTTGTCAGTTTCGTTTGCAGAGGGCTGTTCGATATCAATGACAGAATAATCTGGAATGTCGAAGACCTCAAGAACCACATTTTGTCCATGCAACTCCGAATACAGACTCGCCACCTCCAGGTCATCCATGCCCACATCGGCCTCCATTTCGGCGACGACGCGTTGCAGTTCCTTGAGAGTCTGCTCCTCGGCCCGCCGGAGTTCCTCTTCGCTGCTGGTGCCGGGAATCGCGTCCAGAATTGTCTGCAGAATGGGACTGGGTCTGACCGACAGCGGAGACGACTCCAGTTCGTCGGAGATTGAGGACTCCAAGTGAATGCCCGAGTCGTCGGTCACCGTCTGGTCTTCGGGGTAACTGCGCTCCAGGGACTGGCGGACCACCGAGCTGTAGAGCCGGTTGCTCACTCGGTGGCTGCCACTCGGACCCGAAAACACGGGTGCCGGGATTCTGGTCATCCTGGTCGCCGAACCGCGCGCAGGACGAATGTCGCTCTCCGACGAGCCATCAATATCGATATGGGGTTTCAGGTTCAACGGCCGACTCTCCTCGGAGTTTTTCACGTTCTTGATATTCTCGTTGTTCTTGAGCTCCTCCTGGGATGGAGTCGCCTGCACGTCGCAGCTGGCCATCGTTGCAATCTGGAGGCCCGGGATGAATGTAACTCAATTTGGAACAACACTTCAACGTAAAGGGATCCGATCCCTTCTCCTACTCACCCTCAATTAATTTAAGCAAAACTGACTGAATTTTACTCGGTTAGCTAGTTAACTAGTTTGACTGCTGTGTGTGCGGTGTATTCGTTAAGTATTTTCCCCACTTCGCCAATCTAAACGTTCCCTAGCGAAAGTGTTTGCCTAACTGAGACAAGGAAAATAACTGAACTAGAACTGAACTAACTTCGTTCCACAGCCAACTGAGCCCTAGGATTTTCTTCGTTTTAAAAAGGCCAACTCGGTTGACAACTCATTTATTAACTAAGTGGTAGCATTAATATTAATTTGGTTAATATGGATGGCAAAGAGGGGAGGGGCCTTCCGCTGGCTCAGTCCTGCAACTCCACCTTCGTTTTGAGATAATCGGACAGATCATCGTAGATTGGTGCTTTCAGGCGATCTGTTTGTGGTGAGATGGGGATTAGGTTGGGATACCTCTGTTCTGTTTCACTTACTGTTGCACTTGTACTGCAGATTGGACCATATAATCATTCGCTGGGAGAAGCAGAACACGCCCAGACGTCCGCCCTTCAGCGTGGAATCGTACACGTTGCCCGAGTCGATGATCAGGCGGTTGCCCTCGTACATTCTATGAGAACACAGTTAAAACCTGAAGTATCACTCAGCCAAGCCATCACTCACTGCAGGCGGATGAGGCCAATGGCCGGACGATGCACCAAAGACCATCGGTAGGAGGTCCTTTCCTTCCAGGCGATGTTCTTGGGATCCTTCCACAGCAGCCTCGCCTCTCCATCGGTGTTCCCCTCGTGCCACAAGCTGTTCCGCATTGTGGGCCCCGGGCCCTCGGTGCTGTTCACCAGCTTTATCTGGATGCCCGGTGCCGAGGAGGCGGTAAAGGGGCGTGGCTCCCAGTAGGTCTGGGTGCCCTTCTTCCACTGCACCACGTAGTACTTGTAGCTGCTCTGGTAGCTGAAGACGAACCCTGCGAAGTCGTCATCCGTGTCGTCGTTGATGTAGAAGGTGCCATCGAAGTCCACTCCGCCGAAGGCATCCTTGCCCACCGCCAGGCCAGGATCAGAGTTTAGGGTCTGGACGATCTCGGTGCCGTTGGCATGGACTACCCAGTTGGGATCCGCCTGGGAAAGTCCCTTGGGATCCAACGGAATGGTTTGCAGGGTGCGAAAGTCCGTGTGGTGGATCATCGAGTTGTTGGGACAGTTGTCCAAGGCGTTGGGCACTCCATCCACATCCTCGTCGTCCTCGCAGGAGTCACCCTTCCCATTCCTGTTGAAGTCCTCCTGCTTGGGGTTGTGGGCCAGCGGGCAGTTGTCCTTGTAGTTGGGAATCCCATCGCCATCCATGTCGTCGTCGCACTCATCGCCCGTTCCATCCTCATCCGTGTCCAGCTGGTCGGAGTTGCTGACCATCGGGCAGTTGTCCAGGGAATTGGGAACTCCATCGTCATCTCCGTCGATGTCCCTGTGACAGGCATCGCCCACGAAGTCCATGTCGCGATCCTTCTGGTCGGGATTCGGGAGGTTCGGGCAGTTGTCGCAACCGTCGCCCACGCCATCGTTGTCCACATCCGACTGGCTGGGATTGGGCAGCAGTGGGCAGTTGTCCACCTCGTTTGGAATGGAGTCGTTGTCGATGTCCCCGTCGCACTCGTCCCCCAGTCCATCGCCATCCGTGTCCAGCTGCCTGGGATTGTACTTGTGGACGCAGTTATCGCACACATCGCCCACTTTGTCGCCATCCGAGTCCACTTGCTCCGTATTGTAGGCCAGCCAGCAGTTGTCCTGGCTGTTCTGCACGTTGTCCCCATCCGCATCGTCGTCGCACCCATCGCCGTGTCCATCCAGATCCGCGTCCTCCTGTCCGGAGTTCGGCAGCTTGGGGCAGTTGTCCCGCTGGCAGTGCAGCTCCGGGCAGCGGAGGGGGAGGTCCGGCCACCCGTCCACGTCGGAGTCCCTTCCGCACATCACCCCGTTGCCAGCCCATCCCACGTTGCAGGTGCACAGGTGCCGCAGGTTGTCCATCCGCAGGCACACCGCATTCCGGTCGCAGACGGTTCCGTCCGGACACACGGACACCGAGGATCTGTCCAGGCAGCTGTACGTCCCGTTCGTCACGTAGCCCTCGTGGCACTGGCATCTGTAGGAGCCCTGATGGGAGAACGCATTGATTTTATTATCTGTGCAGGAAATCATAGAAATTTCAAAGAAATTTGAAATTACAACTAAAACCTGCTAAATATTATATTTTTTGTATTTATTTTAGTTTTAATTTTAAAAATTTTTGAGTGTGGGACTTAAAATAAATGCTGAGAAATATTTCCAATAAAAAAAAAGTTTAAAACATTAAGCATATCATATGCAGTTTTATTTCTTATTATTTTAGAATTTCACAACTAGAACCTTTAAATTTTTTTGATTACAAAATATAAAATGTGTTAATATAAAATTTTAAAACAATGTTTTTTTTTAATATTATCAGATATATTCATCGCGTTTGGTTATAGTTATCTCAAAATTAAATCTATTGCTCCTCCCTTAATAGTCCTATATATTTGACTTACAATTTCGTTTATGCAGGTGGAGTGATTGGGGCACCGGAAGAACCCAGTTCGGCACTCATCGATGTCCAAGCATGTCTGCTTGCGGTAATCCACGGAGTAGTAGTCCGCGTAGTAACCATGGGCATGGAGTCCATCAAATCCAACAGGACACGGACCACATTGGAAGCCAGGATTAAGATTGGTGCAGGTCGTAAGGTCGTCGCAGGGATCGTACAGTAGACACTCGTCCAGATCCCGGCAGGTGGTGCCGTTCACCTCGTGACCCTTTGGGCACGAGATGCAGTGGAAATAAGGTGGATAACCCACCTGCAGACATTGGGCACCTTATGAGCCAAAAACAAAGAGTTGCGGGTAGAATATTCAAAAATAAGTGAAGATGCGAGATGATTTTGGAACTGTATTGTAGGGATACATGACTTCAGCCTAAAAATCCCAAATATTTATTGAAGTCCTAATTGTTTTTTAAAACCTTTAGTTTTTCAAAAAGCTTCGATCGAGGATAAAAACCTTATTTTAAAAGAACTTTGTTTTATTAAAATTGAAGCACAACTAATAGCTGCACATTAAGCAAAGAAACTTGAATGTTTTTAAAAAAGAATATTAGTATCGATATATGTTATACACCCGATAATTCGAGTCTTTGGGAAATTAAGCTCCCTCTTAATAAATTTATTTAAAACCAGAGATAAACTTTAAAGAATAAGTATAAAAACCTGGTATTACCCAGCTTGCCTACTCGTTTTCAGCTCTTTTACCACCAATTTTACATATTTAAAAATGTAAGAAAAACTTCCCTCTATGCTACTACAACCCACTTACCCTTACAATGATTTCCTGAGACATGACCAGAAAATGATAGTGTATAAACATGAAGGGATTTAAGGGCATGCGGGTTGTGTAAAATGATTTTGGTAGGCAAATAAAATAAGTGGCCAATGGTGAAGTTTATTTATTGAAAACCAAAAGAATACAGCGTACATTTCGTTTTATTAATATTATTCATATTTTATTACAATAATTGGGAGATTTCAGGCGGGGAAAACAAATTTTGTTACACGTTTATAGACTCCACTTTCTGGCATTTAATTGGGCACTTGTGTACTCTAATCTACAATACATTTTTGCAAAAATACAAACTGATATTCTTCGTTGGTGCTGCGATCTGCTTTCAAATGGACTGCTAATACTATGAATTCCGCTGTTTGCCAATCGTAGAGCTTACAACTTATGACTATTTTACAAGATAGTATTCAATATGTGCACTTTCTACGTTCTGTACTCGTAATTTAGGTGTGTATAGTATCATAGCTTAGCCAAAACGTTGCGATTGTCACTCCCGCTGCGAATTAGTTCGTTATGACCGAGTATTTTCGGGCGGTGTACTGGCTCTGCCTCTGATAGTGTTGCACATTATGCGAGGGCACTAGAATGTTGCCTAATACAAACGAGAATGGTTGATTAGTAAGTTGGTAAGTATTTTGTGGGGTGTCCCATTCGACTCTGCTAATTAAGTCCGCCTGCGCGGTGCACTTTGTACTTTGCCGCGATTCAATTAGACGACTCGACTTATAAGGCCCCAACATTCCAGCACGAATAAATCGCTGCTGATGACCGTGCCTCTGGATCCCAGCGAAACTCAGCTCTGATTAGCCCCCTTGTTTCACACATTCGCGGAAAGCCCGAAATTACCACGCGTACTATATAATTTTCGAGGGTTTTTTATTCAATCAAAAGGGTCGGCGAGTCCTCAGAGCCCGAATTAAACCGAAGTGGGCATTAATAAATCAAACAGTCGTGTGAATTGAGTACGCTACACTCAAGTGGATAGGGTATACAAACCTAACTTGGAACTGTTTACGTTGCCTTGTCAAATGTAAAAAAAGATGTAACCAACCTTAATAATCTAAGCAATATACGAATATTTGTTTCTAAAAAAATGTAAAAATGGTAAAATGTACATTTTTTGCTATTGAATTTTATGATAAGAAATCTATTGCATTTAATGTATTATCTGTTGATACAAATCTATTATAATATCTATCTATCTATCAAATGGCTTTCGTTTAATGGTAACATATTAACAAAAAATGTTTATTGGGAGCTTCACTTTAAAAGTTAAAATAATTATTTATCTCTATTAAAAAAAAAATTATAATATAAAATAAGAACATATTTTAGTATGTTTAGTTTAATAATAATATTTCCCCAAGAAAGCAAGTTTAAATTTATGGCCCCAATAAATGTATAATTTGTAATGTTTCTTCTTAATATTCCTAAAAACTGGCAATAAAATCAAACAGTTTAACAACTGAAGTGTTTCCTCTTTTTCTTCCCCTCCCCTTGAGAACTTCTACTTTAAATGTCTTCTGTGATCCCATGTTTTCCAATCGACCCACTCTCAACCGAAACCGAACTGATGGCACGACAAACACAAATTAGCCATAAAATCAACGAAATCCCCGAAAAGACAAAACTGCGCTTAGGAGAACAAACCCACAGGAGACCACTCCACTCCACTTGAGTCAGTCAGACTGCCACTTACCTGAGGGGCACGGTGTGTCCAGGCAAGGATTACGGAGCGAACATGTGCGTCCATCACCTTCGTAGCCAGCTGGACAGGAGTCACACTGGGCTCCATTCACGGTATCGTGACACTGGACGCCTCTGCAAAGAGAACCCAGATTGTCGTTAATGCGATCGCAAAGGAGGATGGGAATGGGAATTGGATTAGGGATGGGGATAGGGATAGGGATCGGGGAAGGGGGCTGGGATGTGTGTGTGCTATCCATTCGGGGTACATTGTTTATTATTATTAATACCGACAGCCAGGAACAAACAGCAACAAAAGACTGCTAATGTTGAACGCAGTCGGAGAGCATACAAAGGCATATTTATTAATGATGTTTAGTGGAAACGGGCTGCACAAAGCCACTGAGCTGACAAAAGAGAAAAGGAAAGGAGAAGGTTGCCCCACCGGAGAGGGGATCGGGGTCACCAAGGCACCGACAAAGCGCAGTTCGACAAGCGACAAGACATGTGCCATGGTGCTGGGTTCCTCCGGTTGCCCCGCCTCCTCAGGTGGATTTTCGGACATTTACCCGCAGGAAGACACCGGATCCCGAAAAGAAAACAAATTACAATTACAAGAAAATCTTATTAAAAGCCAGCGAAACACAAATAAATAATGGGGAGGGGGAAGCCCCAGTGTGTAGGTTGAAATGCGGATGGCCGATGGCCAAAACACAAAACATCATCCGAGTGCATTGCATGCATGTAAATTTCCCTGACCGTTCCTTATTTACGATCCGGAGTGTGGGATTGCTTATGGCTCTGCGAAATATTTACATATCATGACATGGTCATTAGTTCGCCTTCGTCCGGGGTTACAGTTGCCCGCCGCCTTTGGCCCATCGGCCAAAGTATTTGTCTCGTCTTCATCTCCAGCCGGGCCTCCATCATCGCTTTTTTGTGTTGCCTCTGCAGCTCGGGATCGTTTTGCTTCCCACTTTGTCAGGACATAACTCATGGCAGTCCAATTTCCTAGGAAAATCGCCCATCAGCGGGAACTACCGTGCCCAACTGACCCAGAAGCCATAGTTCCAATATTTTATGGCCCGGCTAAGCACACAGTGCGTTTTCGCCTGCCGGAAGTTTCAGTCGCAGTTGGTTATAGAATTGGCCAGCGAGACTCGGCCCTAGATCACCATCTTCCATTTTGCCCGCGGACTAAATAATAATAATGATGATGCAAAATGAAGGGGTTTCTAGAGACTGACTTATCATAGAGGTAATACCCTTCAAAAAATTTAAACAAACACCCATTCCCGATTTATATAACTTATAAATAAGTTAATGAAAATAAATATTACATTGATATTTTTAGTGGAATAACTTAGACCACAAAATGGATACATGCTTAAAAAAAATTTATAAACCAAAAATATAATATGGTTTTTAAAATTTTTCGAAATAAAGAATTTACCAAAATTACTTGACTGAAACAAGTGACTAACCTAAATATATTACTTCTAAAAAGAAAAGAAATAAAATAAATATTAAACATTCATATTACTATTAAATAACAGAGTTAAATTTGATATTTAACAAAATTGGTTAATTAATGAAAAATAATCAAATACAAAGCAATTTTCGATATGTGAATCTTCCTTCTTTATTTAAAATAAGTGTGTTTAAAACAAATCGTAAAACTGCCCTTGCTCTTTTTAAATAACGTATCCAAAGTATTTTCAAAAGTTATATTTTCCAACTTATTGAGGTCGCTTTCCCAAAGTCAATATAATATTTAATATGCTCGTTTTAGTAAGAGCATTATAACAACATTTGGCTGGCCGAAAGCAGTTCGAGTCGCAGAAACCCTGAAGTATTGTTTTTGTTATTTCTAGCGCTGTCTGCTGATGGGATCCATCACCTGGGGCCCTCGACTTTGGCACATCCGCGGTGGGCAACAACACACTTGTCCCAATCCACAAGACTATGCGTCAATTCGGAGTTCTCGGTGGAATCTTTTCGGGTCTTGCCTCAACTGGCGAGGCGCAATTAGCAAAGAGTGTTAAGTACTTAAGTGGCAAGCGGTGCAAGTTGGATGGGATGCCATCCCAGTTGGATGCTGCGTGGGGGTTTTCGCTTTCCGGCTGCGTTCCCAGGTGCCTCCGCCCCGATCTTTTTCGGCCATCCCTTCCCGCTTTTGGCCGCCACTTTGCGCTTTTCTGCTTTGTTTCAGCCCATTCGAGCGGAGCGTCTGGCTCTGCGGCATCGTTTGAGTGCTGGGAAAATAGCCGGTCAAGCGCAACGAGGAACGCATTAGCATTTCAGCCGCCTCCTTCCACCGTCCACCTTCCACCGAGTTGGTCAGGCCGCCATGACGGACCCACTTGCCCTGTCTTCTTCTGGCCGTTCTTTTTATTAACCACGCATTCATAATTCATAATTCCAATTTGCTGGCTGGCACCCCCAACCCCGATCTCCACCAAGCTTAAGTCCAGTTCAAACACCGGTTGGAGCGGAGAGAATAGAAGGAATAGAGGGCAGGTCCCGGCGAAGGAGCAGCGACTGAGTAATGTGTGAACATGGTTTTGAAGCATGCAAAGGCTTTTAGCCACATGGAAAGGAAAAGGGATGGGAAGAACAACCAGTGGTTCGAGCTACAGGAATTCAATAATATGGTGCTCGGTGTTTGTCAGAGCCCAGCAATCACACATATTCTAGATATTCCCTCCCCGGTTTAATGGTCTATTAGCCAGAGTAAGCCCTATTCTTAGACCCACTCCACCGCCCAGCCATTAACCCCAACCAAATGGCTTCTAATGGTAGCGCATGCCATGCAAATGCTCTAACAACAAAAGAGCCCACCACAAACACTCGGCTGCCACTCGAGGGAGAGCTCCCTTTTGCGCAGAAAAGTGCATCCGAGCATCCAGCATCCAATCTTCAATACCAGGTACTCGTACTCCCCAACCACCAATCCTCGATCCCCATTCCCATTCCTCGATCCGCAATCCTCGAATGTGGCGCACGCTTTGGACAAACTGCAGCTAACTGCCATAAAGCGGCGTTTATTTTGCCACAGGCCACTTATCTGCGAGGTTGACTGGGGCTTCGACTCCGGCTCCACCATTTCAGATACCCAGCCTCCTGTTCCAGCTCTTTGGCTCGATCTCAAGTTGGCTCGGCCCGGGCTTGTTTTTGTTTTCATTGCTGCGCCTGCGCATTGCCAAGACGACCGGCGTCGTAAAATGTTTATGCGGCGATGCGATATCGCGAACTGAGCACGTGGGTAGTCAGTAAGCTCCGTTTAATGGAATTAAATTCTAAGGCATAATAAAGCATTTCAAGAGGCTCAAAATAAACTTATCCAAATGTGGAAGATCTCTAGAAATAGGCTGCTAAATTTATAGTGCACATTAAGGTGGCTTAAGACCAGTTCAAGTATGTGAATAAAACAATAATCTAAATGTAAGTATTTTTTTCCTTTCTAGATAAAGTAGTGGTATAAATGTGGATTTAAATACTCGTACAATTAAAACAATTGATTTTGGAGCATTGATTGAAATATATAACTGATAAAGAAGCGAAGAAAACAATCGAATACTACATTTGTATAAATTCTAAAACTTTTCACTTCTAACTTTAATTTAATTTGATTAACATGTTTTAAAAACTGCTAATAAGCACAAACTTTTTGAAATTAGGAATACAAAATATTGATTGTAATGATGTATATAATTGATAAAGAAGGAATGAAAACAATCGAATACTACATTTGTATAAATTCTATAAATTCTCACTACCAACTCATTCATTTTAATTCATAAGTTTTTTATTAACAATGAGCAAAAACCTTTTTGAAATTAGAAATACAAAATAAAGTCTCAAAGTTACCAATAAAAAGAAAAAAAAATGTTCAAATAAGAAATGACATAAAAAACTTGATTAATATTAATATTTCTAAATAAATATTTAGTATTTAAATTTTTTCTCTTAAGTAATGAAAGTTTCAAGTAATTTAATAATTAGTCTTGTACAAAATATTATATGGATTAAAAAAATGCTCTCCTGCAACAAGTTCACACTTGTAATCAAGCAATGAGCAGTGATCCCTCATCTTAATACTTCCTGCGGCATAAACGAAGCCCAAGTGGGAACTGCTGCCAGTCGACTATTAATTTGAATTCAAGCAGTCAAACAGCCGCGGAGTCAACGCCACGGCAACAACAGTAACAACAAAAACAACAAAACACGACGACGACTACGACTACGACGACTTGGAATCAATGGATCCACTTTTTTTCCGATGCGTAGGCGAACTTGATTCACACTGAGATATGCGTTCCACCGAACTTTGATGTTTGGAGCTGTGAACCAGCCGCAGTCGCTGCTTCCACTCTTGGCTTTTCCTGCTTTTACCTGTGGCCGTAAACGCTCTGCTGAGCCCCCAAAGAAAATGGAGAGGGGAGTGGAAAACGGCGGGGAGGAAAGCCGAGAATCTGTGGGAAAGTTGCCTCAATCAAATGGAATTCTGTCGCGGGAATTGTTCGACAAGCAGCAACACATGTTGCAGCTGCCATCGGTTCGGGAATCACACTCCGGATCGGTATCTCCTATCTCCCGATGGTAATATAATCTCCCTCGGCTTGATTGCACTGCTGATTATTTCGTCAAATGCATAATTTAAATTGAACAACAGAAGTGTGCGCAGTGAAAACTTTCTGGGCGAAGCCGCCCGACTGTCATCGGCCCGCGGCCAAGTTATGATTGGCTTTTCAGGTGGTCAGCTCCACCTGGGATTGCAGCTTGGGAAATGGAAAGTGCAGGGCAAACAGCGAAATTATTACAGAAAGAGGGCTACAAAACAATCCGCTGTTACAGCTTAATTTGCCATTAAGATTTACACTAAAATTATTATTAAGGAATAAAGCTGAACTCCTTACTCTCCTTTATAAAATTATTATATGAAGAAATAAAGCTAAATTTCTTAGTGAAATTTTGAAGAAATAAAACGGAACTCCTTTCTCTATATTTATTTCAATTTATTTTAAAAGTTCTTAGAAAATCTCGGGACATTCTCAATCAAAGTAGAGCGCTACTTTGACTCTAAGAACCAAAAACTATTATCTAAATCGACACAAAAGAGAACACCAAACGCACTTCACAAAGAGAGGGATATGAAAACCTTTATAAGAAGTACCTCCATAAAACACACACGATAGCTGCCACAACAAAGGATCAACAGGTGTGCATGTCATTAGCGCAGGTTTTACGGCCTTTTAATAGAATCGATCGTTTCTTAAAAGAAACCCAAGAAGAATGGGGTTCTGAATCGAAGTGAAAACAAACAAAGCGATGACCAAGTCAAGATGACATTCGGTGGGTTCTAAATTAAAATGATTGGAACGGAGTTTCGGCTGAGGCCCTACCACACACATTGGCCACATTTCATCGATAATGAAAGATGACAGTAACGAGTCGGCGTCGTGACAACATTTAAGGCAATTTTATGCAAATTAAAATACGGTCAACCATGGCGCACCTTGCCCGCAACCGCGGCGAAGTAAACAAATCCCTAGACACCTACAACTCTGGGTTCTCGGTGCTCCGTCTGTGGGGGCTCTTTCCAATAATTTACCCAAATTTATGGCCCAATGGCAGGGCTCTATGCGCGTGGCCAGGAGAGGATAGGCGCTCACTTCTCGCCCGATTTCAGGGGTTCCTGGTCAGCGAAAGAATAACAGAAATCACTTTGAGTGCCTCCGCACAATGCAGTCAGTCAGTCTTCAGTCTTCAGTCTTCAGATTCGGGTTGTGCCGAACTGGGTGCGGGCTCTTTATTCCCGCTCACATTTAACTAATTTATGCGGCTGCCTCAAGTGCCATTTGTGGTCCAGACCCCACGGACTTGGGTTCTGTACTGCCAGGGGTTTTGTTGCATTTTGTTCGACAATATCTACAAAACATTCCTCTCCGTTACATCGCATAACTTGTTATAGTTTTGTTTAACATATTTATGATGCAGGCCGGGAAACCGAAAGAAATAATGTTTTTATTAGGGTTTCCTACGAGAGATCTGTGGGTCTTTTGCATAATAAGTTCGTTTTGACACAAATTTGGCAGCAACTTGATAACCAGCGCCAGAACGATATTAACCTCTTTATTGATTTTCGAATGTGACGAGCTCTTCCGGTTCCAAATCGACCATTTGATATGGGTTGTGGGTGGCACGAGATGTCATTTTCGGAGAAAGGTTCCCTTGTTCCGTTCCGATATGATGGTTATATCACTATGTCAGCAGGTGACTCGGTTGTGAATCCAGAAACCGAGTTTCTACTTCGCCGCCTGACCTCATTAATAATCTCGATCTGATCAAAGAGATCATTGGATAGATAAATCCGCATCTCTAAGTTCATTTGAATAAGTATCTCAGCCCGACTTAATTATGCGCACGAAATGGAAAATCTCGCAGTGTAAGAAGGGATTAGGAAGTCTTCGCGTTCGGATTGACATATCTACGATCTACGGAGCTTATCAGATGGGATGAGGTGAGAAAACAGGTTACCCAATCCTCGAAACCCTCACATGACTCACAGCCATTAAGCCCAATCCACTTACGCTGTTCTGGGTAACCAGCTTATGTCTCCTTGCTCTCGATTATTCGTAGAATTCACCGGGTAAATAAAGGCCTAAATGTGTCTTCTCAATGGGCATCACGTGCTTATCAATCACAGATACAGATATGCTTATGGGGAGTGGGGAGCTTGTCAAGGAGTCGCTGGGTTGCTGTTTGACTAGATCATCAAACCATAAACAACATCAAATTGCCATTAAGGCCAAATGCAAATAATTGCACAGTCAGGGCAGAAGGAGGCCCATCGGATGGCGGCGCTTTTCAAGCCCTCGGAGTCGCAGCATGACAAATACAATTAACATGGATGCGATGGCCACGCCCTTGACGCCATTAAAACGTCCACAATCCGCGTTAATTTTCTTCGCACAAGCGCACGAGCAGAACACGCACAGGAATATATATTCGTATATAGGGAGCTTGGTGGGTATGGGATGGTATATAAGGACTCAAGACAGACTTACGGATAGCAGATGTGGTGGGCGCAGGTGACGCCCGGCTTGCAGGTCTTGCCATCGCCAATAAAGCCAAGGGGACAATGGCCACATCTGGGACCGGCCGCCGAGTCCAGGCACTCCACTCCTAAAAACAGAAAGCCAGACCCAATATTTAGCTTACTTTTTAAGGGATCTCATAAAACTATTTTATTGCTTAAATGAAATGAAGGGTTAGCTTTTGAAAAAAAAGTTGGGAGTTAAAGATGAGCAATTTATAACTCATTAAAAAAGAAACATTTAAAAAAAAAGGTTTTTTTTATTAGCCAATATTACAAAAGGTTAATAGGCTTTTTACCAAAAGTATAAAACAAAGGCTGTTAAATCTAAAAAACCAACCAATAAGCAAAAACTATAACTTTTTAAAATTAAAAAGAAAGTAAAAGTACTTTATGTTGTTATTAAAGGTTATTGAAAATTGACGGAGTATTTTTAATACTATGGGTAATATTATATAAATACCTACAATACATTTAAAAATTTGTTGCGTATTTATGTTTATTTATTTATGATGTAATACTCGTATATATAAATACTAGACATTTGTTCATCTCATCTCTTCATTTATATAAATTACAAGTATATGATTTGAAGTTCATTTAGTTTTAAAATTGTTATGGGTTATGGGGTTACCTTATTTTCGTAGGTACACTATTACCTAGCAATCAAACCTAAACGCTTGCATTAACCCAAGCTAATTATGGCTTGTAATTTAGATAGTTGTACTACTCACCGGGATAGCAAGGATTGGCGGAGCGACAGTCGGGCTCGACGCGCAACTGGTTGTCGCTGGTGAGGGGATTCTTGCAGCCGGCGCAGTTCTCCAGGAGCATCCGCAGGTAGGCAATCTCCTGGCGCTGGTGGGCGACGTCTTCGCGGAGCAGCTTCACCAGGGCCAGTAAATCGCTGAGCGATCTTGCGAGGGCGTCTGATTGGAACAATAAGAGAACAGAGTTACAGTTGAGATAAGTTGGCTTTTTCACTTGGCGGAGGACGGGGGACTTTAAATAAAGCAACAATAATTCACCAGCACCCTCCACTCCCTGACAAAACCCAGTAAAAGCGAGTAAGATCCAGTAAAACTTGGCAAAATGTGTGTGGGAAGCGTTCAAGCGTCTGACAAGATTAAGGTCTAACCGATGCAAAAATCGCACTCGTTTCAACGAAAGGAGTGGGGAACTCTGATTGCAACCTAATCCGCTTTGTCGCTCCAGTGGAGCCAGGATCTCGAACAGCTGCTAATGCGTTCGGGGTTTTAGTGCAGCTTAATGCAATGGGACAACAAAGCCGGGCATCCAATCCCGATTTCACGGCTTTCGTTCTCCCGAATCTCTAGGGATGAGTCATTGTGCTGATTAATTGGAGGAAACGGAGCCACTCAGGTACTAAATGTATGCTAATTACGAGTGTCGGTTTGTTTTGCGAGTCTAAAATTTATTAATTAATTTATTTATGCATATGAACAATTCGTAAACAATTTCCCACCGGAAGTAGTAGTAGTTACCAGTGAGTTAATCTAAGGCGAATAAAATGATTAACCAATTTCTCTCGTTCTACAAACTAAATGCATAATTAATTATGGACTAAACCATCAATAGATTATATTTATCAAAAAAAATTGTTATCTATTCTCCGTATCATTATCCAAATCAAACAGATTTTTCAATAGAGTTTGTTAAACCATTAAAACTGCTAAAAGACTGTCCTGCCCGACTGGAATTTCAAGACATCTCAACTTCTTATAGTAATCCTGGCAAAGCCAGCAAATTGCAATGTATCGCTTATGAATCTGTCATCTCTAGGCCTTTTAAGTTGTACAACAGCGTGTAAGACACACGGCAACAACTAAACTAGTTCAGCATGCACAGAGCTCGCTTGGTTCTACGGACACATCTGTCTGACTTTGTCGGTTCACCCGAAAGCACGAAAGCCTGAGTGAGTTTTGTCAACATTGAAAACGCCGCCGCCTCAACGCCCAAACGCATCCGCTCCAGCTCCAGCTTCCAATCCGCTCCTCCACCTTGGGTCCTCGCCCCAGCGATCTCGATCTCGATCTCGTTTTGGCCACATTCGGTACATTTGGCAGCCTTCGCTTCTATCTGGCTCGAAACAGTCGTCGGCGTGGCCACGTAATTCATTCATTACGATTTGCCGTTGTCGCTGCCTTTGCCTTTGCGATTTATATGCCGCCCCGTACTCATGTCAACTGCACTCAGAGAAACTAAAGCTTTCCTAATTGAGTGTAATTAAATTGAGGGTAATAATGAAAGAGTCGAATCCTGTTTTCACTAAGGTTAGCCTGTACAAAATAAAGGATAATCCCAGTGATATAGATATGATTTTAACAAATGTTCCCTCACCATTCTACGTTCAAATAGTTATTTTATACTCTTAAAGATAATCGCACATATTTTAAAACAGAAGGCAGCAGAATAATGCCTTATATGAAAACATTTTTTTATCACTTAAACTTCCTTTTTTAAAATACAAAATGTAATCTGAAGCTGAAACTTTTGTACCCATTATAGGGATATTTTATAGAAACAAGGCTGTTTTAAATTAAGAAAAAAGTTTAAGTAAGTGATATAAAATATAAAAAAATTTAAATTTATACTCCATTTAATAGATTCCTTAAACATCTACTGGTAACTGGAAAAATAAGCCAATTTAAGCACCCTTGATTTGTAAAAGTGTACAATTGAGACCGCAAGACTTTGAGTAGATTGTGTGGGTACAGATCGGAGCTGGCTACCAATTTGGTGTCTTTGCTCTGAGCCAGATAAATAATAATTATGCCGGCTCGACACCAGGCAATGTGTTCGGTTCGAATCGAGTGCACGGCTTTTGCAGGGGCTTTGTCATATCTCGGCGTTCATTAGTGTTTTCGCTCTGTGGGCGCCTCGTAATTCTCCATCTTCTCCCGATATTTCCATTTCCCTGTGATCACTTAGCGGCGACTTATTGGCCAAGTCGGTGACTGCGATGAGGGTACTTATGGCCGTGTTACACACCCATAGATATGGGTTGTTATTAATTGCTTGCCAGATTTATAAGGCATTAGCGAGTTAAGCCGAGATATTTGGCGACTTGGCAACCTAATGAGGAGCATTAAGCTCAAGGACAAGCAAATTGGTAATGGAGGCATTAACCTGTTCATCTGATCTATTTTAATACATGGAATCACTTGAAAATTCCACTTTGTTTTCTTCTTTCTAACATTCCCAGAACCAAACTATTTGCGTTTTAAATTCGCAACCCACATGTGTTTTGCCTTAAGAAGTTCTCTTGTACATTATCAATCAATGTCAGTTGACTAATAAGTTTCCTCTTTTTATTAAAAACAGTTGAGTCACTTACCAAATAAGGTTGTGTTATAAATAATATTATTTAGGCAATTATCTAAGGAATTGCTTGCCACTCAGATGCGGCAAGTGTTTGAAACAATCCCAATCATTGCATTGGGAGAATGCCTCTACTGCTTTTCAAGGCCTCGTTCATTCACTTGCACATGCCATTGAAATTCAAGCCCCCACTCGATGCACCAATCCCCCGAATCAGTTCCCCAGCCCACACACTCGTACCCCATTTCAGGTTGCTCCACTACATGTAGTATACTACGTATGCTTAATTGAATTATGTTGCTCGAGTGACATAAACGCCAACTGACAAAAGCCAAATAATTTCATCAAGTCGAGCATCTAATCTGGCAACAGCCCAACCTTAGGAGCCGTAGGAAGGCCCCGCCTTTGGGCCAAGATCCGCTGACTGGATAGAGACTACCGACTGGCAGTTGGTGGCTCCACCAGGTGACTCCGCCAGGAGATGGGTGGTGGTGGATGAGAGGTGCCTGCCAACCTACCTTCGCAGTCGCCATTCAGCACGGGAATATCGCCGCGCTCCACGTCCGTTGGCACCTCCTGGTGTCTGCGGTCCACCACTGTTTCCCGGGCGATCGTCGACGGCTCGTACCAGCCGCGTACGTCCCGCTTCTTGTTCTTCTCTGCAATGATTGATACACAGAAAAAAATATATAATAATTAATTAAACACGAATAGTTAAAATTAATGATTATTACAAATTAGATAATAATCATTGCCTAATGTCGCAAATAGTTTACTATCTTACAACAAAATAATACATTAAAATTGATTTACACTGCAAATAGTGTCATTATTAATAAAAGCAGTTTGGAACTATTATTTCATTTTAAAACTAATAATATAAACAATAAATTGTTTATTTATTTTGGCCTCAAATATTAAAAAAAAAAAAAACTTGTACGTATATTGGACCAAAAACGATTTTTCCACAAATCTAAACAGCAAGGGAGTATACATTTCCTTGATTTTAATACTATTTGTTTTCTTAAAGTCAATTAAAAAGAGAACGATTTGTTTACTGCTTCCTGCAAAATATGTTTGATTTTTTACACTTTATGGTTTTATATGTTAAAATTGTTGTTTAAAGTGAGTTTGTACTTTTCAGTTGATACCTTATAACTATAATGAACAAATGACTCTTTGCTTGTTTATTACGAAAGTTAAAATATGTTCTCAAATATTTAAGTAGCGTGATATCAAATTTTACGATTTGTATTCGATTATTTTTATAAGGTGTTGGATATTTTTATAGTAGTTGGATTATAGGATGGTAAAACTATCAAGCTATTCCAAATAAACCAATGTATTGCAGGAATTCGATTTGAATTTTTCGAACTGCATGCAGAATGGTGGCAGGTAGGCACTGACTGCCGAGGCGAACTTACCACGCTCGGTGATCTTGTTGCGCAGCATGCGGCGGTTGCCACGGCGGTGGATGCCCTTCTGGCAGTTGGCGCGCTGCAGGGAGTGCTCCATGTCCCCGTCGAAGTGGAGGGGGTACTTGCGCTCGCGGAACTGTCAATGAAAACTCCAACTCACTCTCGGTCCCACTTGCCACTGGGGTCCTTCCACTCACCAACTTGATCACCGGGTCGTCCATCTGGGTGTACAGCTTGGTCAGGCTCATCTCGATGTCGTGGTGGGTGCTCGGTTTGCAGTCCACGAAGAGGGTGATGCGGTTCTTGGAGAACTGCAGGGCCAGCGATCTGATGGTGCTCGTCTCATTGATGTTGGGGATGTCGAAGTTCCGCGACTCGGTGGCTCCATTCGCACTGATGTCCAGGGTGACCCGCTGCTGCTTTCGGTCCAGGAAGAAGGACATCTTGTGCTTCAGCATGGGGAAGTCGATCATGAACAGGGCCTCAATGGAGATGTGCAGCTTTCGACGGGGTCTTATGGGGGAATATATATAGTCATCAGTCCCTAGATTCCCTATTAATAACTTACCTAATGTGACGCGTTGAAATAACCACGTCTCCCTTTCTTATAAACTGTTCCAGTTCGGCAGAGGCCACTGTAAAAGGATATATAAAATATAAAATAAATACCTATATATTTAATAAATATTTAAATACATATATAATAAATATATCATTATAACAAAGATAAGGTAATTTGAAAAAGGTTAGCCCGTAAGAATTTCTCTTGAAATTAAAATTATTCTTTTATTAAAATTATAAAGATATAACATGAATTTAACTGTACATTCTAAAAATGTTCCTATATGTATCTAAATTGAATTTATTTGCATTTTGAAGGAATTTATAAATGATAAATCCCCTTTGCAAAGGTTCGTGCCTTATCTTTCTCACTTTTCCTTGATCAGTTTCGAAACTGTTAAGAACCACTTCCGTTCTACCGTAGCCACACATATTGATTACCAAATAAACAGCCGAGTGCACACAAAGATAATGTGCTGAGGTACCCAAATCAGCATCGGGTCATGTTTGTTAATCTCTTCAAGTAATTCCCGTCTTAGCCACTTGCTCTATTTGCCCACAAACATTGGCAATCGGTTTTTATATTTTTTGCCCGCCACAGATTACAACACCTCGGATACGGAACATGGAACTATTTATTTTGGTCACCCCGGGAGGGAGATGGCCGCTAATACAGCGGGCCGTGTCAGCGTTAACCCAAATAAATACACGACACATAATCGGGTGTGAGCCGTATTTGCACAATCCGTGGGGCGAAGGAATCCATCAAGACGACTCCATATAGAATTTCACGCATTTGCGCGACCATTTGTCATGCTGGCGGCGACCGACTTTTGACAGGCTCACGCCAGGTGACCTTCACGACGTGGACATGGACATGAAAACGGCCACCAGCCCGGGGATATGGGCATAAAAGTCGCGATTTGCACTCGCAAGATGGTCTGGCCAGGGCCTCCTCTCGTGATCGGGCCGGAATATCGCCATTTGCGGAGCAGGGAGGTCACCAACTCGACAAGCAGTGAACCCAGCTGTCACTCGGCGACGTTTGCATTGGGATTTGAGCTCGCGATTTACATAAATCGCCAAGTTGGTAACCAAAACCATGCCTTTCGGGCGTTTCTCGGCAAACATTTGCCGATTGTACCGCTGCAAGCCATCGCTTGGTTGTTAACCATAAAAATCGTTAAAAATGTGTGCGTACTCTGTGTACTTAAAAGCCACTTAATTACAATAATTGATTGGAACAATGCAAGAAGTTATATAATATTAGTTCCAATAAATCAATAGCTAAAGGTCGAATAAATTTAAAGCAATACCCGCCTTTTTAATTGCAATAAGATTTGTTATCTAGAAATAATGCTATTGAATTTGTGTTTGTTTAAGTAATAATTTGTTCTTATAAAATTTTAAAATTTAAAAGATTGTAAGCCAAGTTTTTAAGAAGTAATATGCACTACTTTCGCCGGATAATTAAGTGAAAGATGGCCCTAACTGCAATGTTCCATAAATTATTCCTCTAAAATAGTAAGTTTATCTTGTTCCAACTTGATTTTTCTAAGCCCATAATTTTTAAAAATTAAATTCACTTTTCAGTAAAAATGTTAAGAAAATCTTCAATTTTAGTACTATATTCATAGTAATACAAATAATAAGCATTAAACGATTTTTTCCAGTGAATTGGCGCACCATCGTTTGTTTGAGTTAAAGAGTTCACTGGAATGCAAAACGGGTGCAAGGGGGAGGAGGAGGGGAGGGGATTGAGGGTGCAGTGCATCGTTTGCACTTACCTGGATCGAGTGAGAGTGATGCAACCTCCACAAATGTCAGCGCCAAGGCGGTCAACCCGATTAGCAGCACGCGCGTCCAATTCATCGTAGTCTTTGTTGTTGACGTTGTCTTCTGAGTTTTTTTTGGGGGTTCGATGAAGGGGGAAAGGGGGTGCCGGGTCTTCACTCCAAAATCTGTCCGTCCGCTGAAATATAAATAAGAGAAAGAAACGATAAAGCGAAGAAAATAAGACCTCGTTCCTCAGCCGGTGGTTGTTTATTTACGTTTAAAAATAAAACGCACAGCAAAGCGCATTGCGAGGCGGAGCGTAAAATGAAATCGCATAAAATAATAAATAAATTCAAATTAAATTAGTGCAGCCAATAAAGAAGAAAAAGTGGCAGAATGATAGCGCAATAGATAAATATTTTGCAGCATTTTTTAAATTTCTAACAAGCTCTCCGAGTTTCCCCCAGAGTTTTCACTCCCCACTTTGCCGGAAGTACTTGGTCGGGTATCACCTAGATATATTTGTTTAAATATATTTGTGTAGCCCTCCCCCGCCCCATATCTCTCATCTCGTTGGCCATCTGTGGGCGTCATCATCATAAAGCATTTCGGAGCTTAAGTTTTATATTTCTTGTTGTAATTTTCTGGTGTGCCCAATGTGGATTCTTTGAGCTTCCTGAGATTTATGTTGGATATTTGCAATCATTCTTTCCTGCATGCCTCTTTAACTTAAATAAATGTTTATTTAATGTGTGTGTTCGGATCTGTTTTTGCCTGGGTGTGTTTTCAGGTGCTTCCCTCAGCGGAAGTTCCGAAGAAAAGTTGATGGGAGCTCTAGGTGAGGTGATGAATTGTGATTCAATTTCTGGGAAGGGCTATGTTAGATAACAAGAAATAATTGCCCTTATGTAACAGCATTCAAATTTATTATTTTGAAAATGCTATTATGATGTAACAATAACTAAATTCCGCTTGCTTGCATCTGCTTTCTTTGTAAATCACTATAAAACAAACTACTTTCCTGGCTAACATAAATCTCAAACAAAAAAAGGAAAGATTCTATACCTTTGAGAGATCATAAATTCAACCTTAAACGATAAATGTAAAGAAGAACTTGCTTGTGGAAATAAGTACTGACTGATTGGCATTAAACAAGCTGCAGTCGTAAAATGGATTGGAAAATGGGTTGAGGATTCACCCAAAAATACGCAGTTGCAATTAGGCACTTGGCTCATCACTCGAACGGCCACAAAAGTCAAGAAGCGCAATAAACTGCGTAACACAAATCCATTTAATAGAGAGCTTCAGGCCAGCCCAGAATCGATCCTCCGACTTTCAGCCATTACACAACTTTCATGCTTAAATAAACACGAGAAATGTGGCCGAGATGTTGTTGTTGGCTTTGGCTAGAGGTGTCCCAGGAATGTGGTAACGGTCGATGATGCCCAACCAGCCACATTGAGATCCACAGTCAGAGCCACAGTCAGAGAGCCGGGCCAAAAGCAAATGGCGTTCTGGCCATACAAGACACGACGACAACTTCTCCGATACTGGTCCAAAATGTTGACTGACAGTTATGGATTTATAGTGGCAGTTGTTACTGCTGTTGTTCAATTCTCGTTCTCTCGGCTACAATGTCACTGAGTCACAAGTGGACGGGCTGTAGGATCCGATGCGATCCGTTTATGGGTGTAATCGCAATTACCAAAGCACAATAAAACCAGAAGAACGGTGGCAGATCCCAGGCACCATATGCCCGTACTCGGGCTGAGAGCATTCGAAAGTATTTTAGGGTTTTTATTCCCCATCCGATGATAGAATTCGAGAGTGCTTTAGTGTCGTTTTTAAAATAGATAGGTTAGAACTTTAGTACAAAGATAGCGCCATTAGGAGGTAAGGTTACATGTTAAAGGCTCAGAAAATAAATTCCATATTGACATATTACAATACAATATCAATGCATTCAAACACAATGAACCATAACTCTAATGAAATTAAAAAACTTTAATTAAAATCGCTGTTGATGATTTCAATAACAAACACATATCAGTGGTTTCATCGGCATTTGAAAAATCCGTGACATAATCGTGTAAATAAATCTTCTTTCAATTGAAAATTTAATTTATCTGCGGGAGATTAAACAAAGTATTCAACAAATGTTCCCCAGATTTCAAAAGAAAAGAGATTCCATCCAATCACTCCCATAAGTTTTGAAGACTTAAGACGTCCGCGGTATTCATCCATTTCAAGTTCTGTGAAAGGTTATCAAGAACTTAACCCAGGCGTAATGCCCGCGATCTGTGCCAAGTGTTCAGTGAAACGTTTATTAATATCCAGTTAAGTTGGCCGCCGGCTACCGATTCAACCCAGAACATTTCCCACCAAATGTCAACGGAGTAATCCGCCGCGAACATAAAGAAAAACCGAAACCAGAAGTGGAAACACCTTCCCATGTTCACCTAAACACATAATCCTCAGGCCCGAAATTTATTAAATACTTTTTAATGCCATCGGTTGGGTGTAGATCATGCATAGGCCGGGCATATATCTTTGTCCAGCGCCCACGCAGTCGTCAACTTGAGGCCCCAAAAACAAAATCTCGCCATCGAGACGCCGAAGAATCAACAGCCGCATCGCCAGCGTCTTGAAGACGACGCCACATCGAGTTAATAAAGCGGACAAATCAGAAACAAAGTCCGTCTCCATAAACCGACGAGTACATTGATTGACATTTAATTAAGCAAAGCCAAATGCACACGGAAGCCGCAGCTCGATCGACCGGCAATACCAACCCAGACCGCAAATGAGAAGGGTTGGCTGCGGTTCGCCAGTCGGGATCTTCACCCACTAGTCGGCTTGGACCCCTCACTGATCTAAACCGATTGAACAAGTTTAGCGTCAGCGTCAAACGACAGTGACAAAGGCGTTTCTGGTCTATCATCAAAGGAAATTTGATGCTTATCGGAAAAGTCATTTTCATTAGATTATATGGCAGGCCAGAAAAGACGGCGAAAGGGAAACGAGAACCCTGGCTGGCCAGTTGTCAACGAGGGTTGTTCTAGGGGTTGTTCAACAGCAATTTAAATATGGAAATTAGAATTTGAACAGAAATGCAATTTATCTAATTTCCTTTTGGGTAAAATAAATATTTGAATAGGTGCCAAACTCATATTTCCGTATAAAAACTAAGGACCGACAATGTTATTACAAAAAATCTTTTTTAATTATAAATGCTAATTGCCATGGGATCCTTTTTAGAGGTGAAGCAAAACCTAACAACAAAAACATATTCTTCAGGATTCAAAATTTTCAATTATGTTAATCGTTGAAATTAAAAAATTGAATTTGACATTGAATAAACATATTTTTAAATTTATATTGAGCATCTTTTTTTTTTTCTGGGGAGTAAGCAGCATTTCCTTTACAAGAACCCTTAGTGCCCCAAGAAATTGCGTTTCCAGTCACTGTTTTTTTAAATTCCCATGTCGGTGAAGCAGCAAAGTCAAACAACTCAATTGTCTTCGCAGTAGAGGATGATTTAATGATACACTCTTGGTTCGGCCCTCGTACGGAATTAGAAATTCAAATATTTTGACTCTTTCGCCGATCGCGCCAGCATGCAACCGCACAGCGCAGTCCACTTCCCCCAGGGCGTTCGAAACGGCGCAAAAATTAAATCGGAGGAAAACGCTCGCGAGTCGCGAAGCTACTGCGCATGCGCGGCCGACTGGGCTGCCAACTCCGCGCAGTCGCGTGTGGGCAGGACAAGTTTCGCTGCCGCCGCGGGCGTCGTGTCACTGAAATCAAATCAGCCGCGCTTAAATGCTCAGCCAAAAACTTCGGAGCGGCTTCGGTTCGAGCCGGGCTGCGAGTGGCTGGCAAACCTGCTGTCAGTTGCTGGTTTGACATGGAAAAATCTATGCCGGCGCCTACGCATCACGAGCGCCGAGAAAGAGTGAAAAATCGAGAGAAAGAGCGCAGTCAGGGCCAGCTAAGCCACTTAGGGAAATTCTTCAGCGGATTTTCATTTGCAGCCGCCAACTTTCTTCAGCCTTTGTTTAATTTTTTCCAGGCACTTTATAATTGGAAGCAACAAAACATTGAGTCGCGGTGGACTGAATTGATTTCAGGCAGCCTGATAAATTGGTTTCATCATAATAGACTTTGTATAACTTCCGGCGCAGGCCAACCATTTATTTCACCGGTGTTTTGAAAGTGTCAAGATTAGGATTGGAGTTCAATAGTCTTGGGCGGCACTTGACGTCCTCATCTCATTGGTTTCTGTATCTGAATCGATTTGAATATCGGTCGACTCTTTTTGTCGACTTTTTCTCATACAATTTTTGACTATTTATTTTCCACAAAAATGCAGTAGTTGACAGCTTGAAATGTTGCTTTCAGGTGTTATATGGAGTCCTATTTCAAAATATTGAAAGGTCTGTCAATTATATATCGTGTGATGGAGATTTCTGGTATGGTAATTGCCACCTGCCAAGTTGCTCAATCGCAACAACATAAATAATTTAAATTGTAGGTGTATGAAAATACGTGAATTACAGTTTTTGAAATATCAATCATCATGTATAAACTAACTTGAACAAAATGCTAGTTTTCGATATTAGATATTCATGCGATAAAGTAAACATACACGATGAATAAATTAGAAACCTTTACAAAAATCTTTACATAATTATAGCCAGCAGCTAGAATCTGTCCCAAATCATATTATATTCCCATAAACTTCAATAAACAACATTCTGCCTATATGGCCGCCATATAATTAAATTTTTTGTCAGGTGTTTGTTGGGCCACGCCTCTTAATCAGTCGTCTTTGATATTTGCATATCTTCGCAGAATATCTAATTATAATGAAACCAATATAAAAGGTTTTTGTTCTTCAGGTTATAAATGATTTACTTCTTGCTCCGATAAAAGTTTAAATTTTGGCGGAGTATTTTCGTTAGCGATCTTGTCAAATCGTTTGAGAATGTGTTTAATCTATCATTAGGCCAAAAGCGAAAACCCATTAACTTATGTTGATGAACCATTAAAACGAAGTCGCGTCTCCATTCGAAATGATTCAGTTTTGACGCCGCTAGTCCAAACAACCAACACAAAAAGCCTTAGCTTCCATTGTGAGCTTTATTTGAATTGCAAATTCGAGATCGGACCAATACAAAGCATTAAAATTTGTAAGCCCGATTCCCCGCATAAGGTCGGAAATTGGCGTCCAAATGGCTTTCCACTGACGATGCGCTAATTTGCTGGTGCAACAATTTTCCACTTAATTTGCATTTGTTTATGAACTCATAACTCGCTGCCAAGCGGAAATTCCAATAGCACAATGCCAACAATGGCAATATTATTTATGTTTTAATAATGTCAAGCTCGAGCTCTATATATGGCCAGAAAAATATTACCATGTCTGAGGAGTCAACTGTGTGCGGTAAAAGGGTATCAATGTTTGGACAGAGCCCAAAAAAATACAAAGCTCCAATATGGAATATTTATTTACAGTTTTTTTTTTGGTCACAACTCTTTGCATAACCAAAAGCTATGATCTATTAACCAGGATATTTAAGGTAACTAGCCTATGGATGAACTACATACCAAAAGCATTCTAGTGTTCCATTTTTTTACTCCTACCTATATTTAAGCACTGCATGCTAATGCCAAGCTCTCATTAAAATACCCCCATTTGGTTAACAGCCTCCTTAAGATTAATACCCCTTTAGGTAACGGCGCCACTGCCTTCGAATAATATATTCGAATAATAAAATAACCGCAAGTCTAAGATGACTCTCGGAAAGGCAGTTATAAATTGTTATGTAGATCTTGGCTGTGGGCGTCTTTTAATTGAATCGCTTGGCATAAAGTAGCAGAGCAGATCGGAGTCCAGTAGAAATAGCAAAGTGATTGGGAAATCGAGCCAAATAAAATTAAGTATACAAGTATAAACCGCTGTTGGGGAATGTGTCCACCTCCATTTGGTCAACATCATTAACAAAACGTGGCCGCTGCTGTTCAAGACAACAAATCGTTTTTGGTAGAGAAAAGTGTTCTTTGCTCTGACCTTATATGATCACATAATTATAGTTCTCGCGAAGGCATAAACCCCAATCTGATCGCTTAAATATGTGTGGAAAGTCCGGTAATTAATAAATTATGACTCGGCTGTGGTATTTATGGCGCCAATGCAGATAAGATCATAAGATCTCCCATAGATTAATGTCGCTCGGTTTCTGTGGATGCCACAGGCCGATTTAGCTGCGAGATTGCGGTTGTCTAGGGTGTGGCTAATTAATATGTATCGATAGTATTTGAATTACAACAACAATTAGCATGATTTATCATCAGATAAAAACGGCGGTGAAATGAATCGGAATCTTTCGAGGCGCTGATGAAAAATATTCATAAATTGGCCTTTCAACGAGGCGGTGATTATCGAGCAATAAAGATGTATGAAAAAGATTTCTCAGTGGGGGCAGAATAACTATTAAGCTCTATTACCAGTAAAACAATATCCGAAAGCTCATTAAATAAAACGCCATTCGCAGTATATAAACATTTTTTTCTTGGATACTTTGTAGCTGGATTTTGTCTTCATATTCTTAAATTTGTTTTAGGAAATAGCAATATATCCCCCTTATTTATAATTTGCATATTTTTTGGGATCAAAGTTTTCAGGTTATTGTTTTGTGCTCGCAATCCAAATAATAAGTGACTTAAAAATCTATATTTACTCCTTGATAAATTGGTAGCATAAATTGTTTTCGTTTTAGAGTTAACCAATTTCTATTTTATAAGGATACTAGAATTTTCAGTTAACAACGTAGTAATATCGTAGAGTAGTCTAATTCTGATGTGTTTCCCGACAGTTAAAAAAAAGAATAAACTTAACACTTAGCCACTTATTTTGCCACTAATTTCCTCCGCTTAACTTGACTTGATTCGACTAACCCAGATTTGGCCACACACTGCGCACTTATAGCCCACTCCTGAGCGCCTGCTGCCCGGAGGTCTGGGTAACCTTCACACTCACCTCTGTTTCAAGGACGTCGCTCGTGCTCTAGAAGTGGAGAAGTGGAGCTGAGTGAATTACTCGGCGGGAGTGACAGCTCCTTGTTGTTGGCTTGTTTGCGCCACTTGCGGCTGTCAACGCACAATTTAGAATGGAAACGACGTGAGTTATTTTTACGGCGGTTTCCACACTTTTCCGTCGCTTCCTGGACGACCGCACAGACACTTTTATTATTTCTTCTGAGCGAAAGATCAAACAAATCGCAGGCTCTTCACACTAAAAGAATCGATAACGAAACGGATGCATTAGATAGTTTAAACCTTTTTCGAAACGCCTCAGGTAAAAATGGGGGGAATGGGGACACACACGCAAAGATCTCGGGGAGCAGATTTTTATGGGATCGAGGAGGCGAACACGCGACGCCGATCCTCCAGCAACGAAAACTGCTCCACAACTGACTCGCCCGTTCGTGCCAATAAAAATTAAAACACTTTTATGCTATTAACGGCGAGAAGGCGAACGCGACGCGATTTTGGACACCTTGAATATGCGGAGGATGCTGCTTGAGGATCGGAGTTGTTTCTTATACGGGATGCTCTCGGAATGATTTGAAAAACACACTTAATAACGTCACAGATCAAAGGCATTCCCCCGATTAGCGATATAGCGAGAGGCTGATTTATTTGCGGATCCCACACCTGGTGATCGCTGATCACTTATCGGCGATAAGTTATCGAAGGACCACGAACACGTACCGTCTTGTCCAACGTTCCAACGCGAACTGAAACTGAAAATTTGAAAATGCGAAGGGAAGTGATCGAGCCGCGCAGTCGGCGTCGCCGTCGACTGAGGCAGCGACAACTTGTTGTTGCCTTTCTGCAGTTTGTTTGTTCTCAGCTGTTGACTTGTTGCTTTTGTTGTCGCTGTTGGGAGAAACGCGACGCCGCAGCAGCCGCGTTTTGTCTTCGTTTGCGTTTCTTTTGATTTGACGCGTGAGTAAGCCGAGACGCCCACGTGCAAAATTTGCGTAAACATCGACAGTGTGGCCAGAGCGCCGGCCAATAATTGAGGAAGTGAGTGGATAGCGGTAATGGACTTCGAGATATGATAACTGTTTGGATTTGCGGATCAAGTTTAATCGAAAATTATTACCCACTTATTTAATATGGCAGGATGTAACATTTTCAGACATCCTTTTCATTAATGTTCATTGTTTTTTTTAGTTGTTTTGCTCTTGAACATTATTTAAATTAAAAAAATGAGTTTAAAGGTCAAACCCATACGCAAAATTCAGGTCTTTTAGTTGAATCTTAATATTAATATAATCTCCGGTTAAATACATAAATATGTTTGTATATGCTTTGGTCATTTTATTACCTCTGTATCTCTGTAATATACACTTCCCAAAGTAATATGAATGCACTTGCTAACGTATACGTAATATTTAAAGAAGTCTAGGTTTCCGATTTTTTTAATCTTAATATTAAATCAACGTTGTTCGTAATCATAGCTAAAAGAGTTTGCTTACAAGCGGGGTTTAAAGTTAAAATAAGATCATATAAATCAAATGAAAATTGCAAAACAAACAAAACATCATAAACATTACCTTTAAAATATTATCATGGCTCATATATTTCTCAATTGTTTTGCCCCAATTCTGGGTTGAGTTAAGGCCATTAAACTGAAATTCGATTCCAAAACATGCGTACATTGTAGCGCCGTTTAAGGCCATTAAATCGAGTTCATGTGAACCCTTTCCCGATAATGCGACCAGCCTAGTTTGCGACCTCCTCCACTGGACCAGCGAGATCCTCACATCTTGAGGGAAACGATGCCGCCGCCAGACACTCGCTCCTCTGAAATGAAGATCGTAAATAATCGGCACGCTCGGGAGGCATTTAAAAGAAGCGAACCACTCGTAAAAACTAGACCCGAAAATGCCATGCATATGGCACCTATTAATGGCTACTTATGCAGTACAAGTGTCCCCCGATATGGAGTTCCCCGTCCCTGATTTTCCTTTTTGACACGAGACTGATGCGTAACACGACAATATTTAAGGGGGAGTTGCTCGGGAGTCGAGTGCCGCGACCTGTTCGTCATTATGTCGCCGGCATGGAGCATTATGCAGATGTGCATATATCACGCATACATCATGCAGTGCAGACACACCCGAACCCGAGATGGTATCCCATCAGATCTCAACATCTCAACGCTGCATATTTTGCCGCTTTTCGGACAGCGGCGACCACTTGCTGAAATTTCATTATGTGCGTGATTTATAAATAAACCTCCAGGTCGCCGCTCCCCATCGTCCGAATCTCCGCCGAGTTGTTCGCTTGTTCCCAGCATCTTCAGTGGTTACGAGGTAAAAACAACCCACGCACTTTTCGACGGCACAACATCATCTCATCTCGGCTGCTTCGTTCGATCCCCCAACTCTCCCCCGGTTGCAGTTCATTTCGTATTAATCATAAAATTGTATTATTAACATGTTTATTTTTCGGTCTTCAAGATTCGATTACACGCATTCTTCCAGCGCTTTATGTGCGGTGTTGAGTGCTTTGCCGGGGGAACGTGACTTTGTAGCGCAGTGCAACGAAAGTGAGCCACTTTCTAACACTGCGAGATTGTCGGGGGATATCTTGGGCATTCAATTGCAATGAAAAATATTGGCATTTTATGCCTCTCCCGGTTAATTGGGTTACCTGGCTAATGACGCCGACCAGACCAGATGCCTTGCACCTGGGAAAAGCGTTTGCGTGGGTGGATATGGATGGCTTGATGGGAGTTAACTGGCCAGGAGCCAGAAAAGTTGGACTTACTTCCTCTGAAATAGTAATAACGGACAGAAATTGCTGCTACTTTTAAAAAAACGTTAATCCTTAAGCAAGTTTGTTTGGGTTTTAGTAAGAAGTGAACATAGTGAATTTATTTTTTATAACTTTTTATTTACAAGATAAATTTATTAAGAATTGGGTGAACATAGGCCTCAGCCAGCTTATTTTCTTCTTAAAGTGACATATAAAGGGTAAAAAGTGACTTATTAAAAAAAGAAGACGAAACCTTCTTCCCAATTTTTCTGTAATAAATTCCCTCTGAGTCACCGTTTTTCCTTCCGGCAACAATAAAATTAAAAGCAGTCAGAGGTCAATAGACAATCTTATCTCAGGATGAAACTGGTTTACCCGCATATCCAACCCAAAATTATTCAGCAAATATTAAACAGAGACACGAGTGTATAATTAATGTGAAGGGCTCTAGCCATAAACCATGTGATTAACAAAAGTTAGCGCAAACAAACCAAAGAGTGGAGCCCTTCCTCGCCCAAAACCAGAACTCAGGTTGCTGTCTTCCATAATTTTTTACATATTTTTATTTCGACTTCGTTTGTTATTTGTTATGAATAAATTATTTTAAATTAAGCAATAATCCGACTAACTAGAGTATATCTAATAGTAAGCGGTATTACATCTTAAGCGTATTTCCTAAGCGATAACTTTGTTTTCCAAACATTTAATGGTACAAATCAAAGCGATTTCAAATCGGAGTTTGTATCTTTCCTGGTCTGGTCTTTGGTTGTCTTGAAAACATTTTAATTTGTCGCTAGCTAAATGCAAATGCCAAAAGAATTTATGACGTAAATTCCGAACTAAGCTGGTTAGCAAATTAAATGCCCTTTGTTCCAAGCCGACTTCTCCAGATGATGAACAGTAGCAGATCGCTTAATTGATCCAGTTGCTCTCGAGCCCTTTTTATTATTGTTTACTTAACCACACTGGTCATTTCGATGGAGTCGCCACAGCTGAAAGTATATATTTATTTAGACTTTGCTCTTATCGATGCTCCAATGAGTTGACATAAAGTGAAGTGCGGTTAGGAAATGGCTTTTAGAGTGGATATTTTGTGGGTGATCTTTCAGTGCATGGAGATTATGTAAGCTTTCATTAACCCAAATGGGGTAAGGCTTGGTCTAGGTCACAGTTTCAGATAGGTTTAATGGAAAAGCCTTATTGCATACGTTGCATAATATGAAGAATGTAAAACCAAGTTTTGTAATAAAACTGGATGGCTTGTTACGGGATTAAACTTTTACTACTTTCAAAGCATTACCTTACTAACTTTTGTTGTGAATATATTTTTCAAGCCAACTGTGCTTCTTTCCAAGCTACCAACCGACTAAGAGGTAAAGGCTACTCCCATGTGAGATTTTAAGGCCTACATTTTCCCTTTTGTTCTTTAACTACTGCCTTGCAGAATACAATTATTTAACTATCTGAAAGCATACGTTTTCCCTTTTGTTTCTTGTGCCAGATTGGAAGTTTAACCACAACATAAAACCCAATTTTTACGACCAAGCTCATAAACGAAAAGCGAATCTGTGAAGGTGCTGTAAATCAATTAAACAAGAATGGGGATGGGTACTTCGAGTGACAAGAAGGTAGAAAGGGTATAGAGACCGAAATTACTTCTGGCGGAACCTGGACGGATCCTGGCACCTGATGGTGACCGCACTGACGCTCGAGTCGTCGTTGGCCTCATCCTCGCTGGCCAGCGGAGCGATGGATACTCTCAAAGGGGGCGACGGGGGAATGGTGACCCCGATTCCCACGGCTGCTGCAGGGCCGTTGGAGTTGCCAGTGCCCTTCAGGCCCACCACGTTGGCCAACTTTGTGGTGGCCGACACTGCGGCTGCCATCACTTGGCCACGTCCATTGAGCAGCGAGTTGTTGGTCAGCTGCTTCTGCATCAGCTGGTTGGAGGAGTCCAGCCGATTGGACAGCGAAGTGTGTCTGTTGTTAACCGACTGAAATGAAAGAAATAGTTTTAATGGATGCTTAAGAAGGCTTAAGTTATTATATTAAATAATTATTTGTTTTATAAATGTGATTCTGTAAACTCATCGCAAGCTTTAAATTAAGACAATCGCGAAGCACAATAATTTTATTTCTCGGTTAAGAAAAACTATTTTTCATTATCTAGCCTTACAATGGAAACAAAATATGTATGGTAATAAACAGATTTGTTTACCCACAGTTTTTTAATTTTAATTTCATTTAATTTTTAAGTTACCAAATAAGTTATTACGTTGGACAGGATTACAATTAAAGAAAAAATTAAAGCAATAAAAATTCAACTGATGAACCGCTTTAGGTAATTTCTAATTATTATTATATTATATTATATTATATTATATTATTATACGATATTATTAGGATAATATCCCTAGTCGGAGTTATAACAAATCCTATTAGCACTTAAACCCACCGGATTATTGTTGTTCATTCTCCCGCGAATGTTGTAGAGCCCGTAGACCAAGGGATTCATGCAGGAGTTCGTCGAGGCGAAGATCAGCAAAGCCTTGCGGACCATCGGGTTGATCTTGTTTGCGGAGTGCTTGTCCAGCCAGTACCACATTGAGATGGTGTAGTACGGGGTCCAGCAAATGATGAACACGATCACAATCGATATGGTCATCTTGAGGGTGCGTTTTTTGGCTCTGCTGAGAACGTCGTCGTTGGATCGCCGGAATCGCTCGGCAATCACATCCTTGAGGACCCGCTGGCTTTTCCGATAGATCTCGAGGTAAATGGCCCCGTAGCAGTAGATAAACATCACCAATGGAAAGGCGTACATGCTGCACATCGAGGCCAACTGATAGAGCTTCTCGTCAAAGTCGCTCCTGAACGAGTGGAAAATGACGCACTGAAAGTAGCCTTTCACGCCGGGGTGCTCCTCCAGGTGGAAGAGGAAGACCTGTCAGAGACGCTCGTTAATTAAGATGTCAGATGCACTTGCGAAGAAATCGCGTACTTAAATTTATATATGTACGTACTAAAATGCTTAAGTTTTCTTACAAAAAGAAATTTATGTAAGTGTTAAAATATGTATTTGGTAGGATGTACATCGTTATAGGTAACAATCAATTTATTAATCTGTAACGCACAATTAAATAAATTATTGGCATCCTATTGCCATACCCTTTTAAAACAGAAATTATTTTGCTAAATAACAAAATTATGCTTATGCACCGATGCATTTAAAAACAAATAAGTTGCAAATAGTTCAAAAATACTTTTAAGGAATCGTTACAGAAACTAAATGAGTAGCTGTATTTATGCCATGGTATCAAATGTTGTTTAATTTCTGGAGCAACTTATTATTTCGAGTGTACCAGGGCGACTCACCTGCGGAATGCTGCAGACGACGGAGCCCAGCCAGGCACAGGCGAGCATGATGCGTCCGCGGTTGTAGGACCGCTTCAGCGGCTTCAGGATGGCAAAGTATCTGGGGGAGAGGGGCGAGGACCAGGTGGTGAGAAAGCCGTCAGCCATCGATTGACACTGCGAGCCGCCTTATCTGGCTATCAATTTGGTCCATTAGCGACAGTCGGCGGCCGCGGACTCACCTGTCGAGCGAAATGCAGACCATCACGTAGCTGGACAAGTAGAGCCCGAAGACGCGGAAGAAGCTCATCAGGCGGCACATGAGGTCCGTGGAGCGCCACTGGACCGTCCAGGCCCACGCGATCTCCATCGGCATCAGGAGCAGCGTCACCATTAGATCGGCGATGGCCAGATGCATTAGCATGATATCAATCCGCAAGGGACCCCTGAGCCGCCTTTTGGTCAGCAGATAGAGCACGGTGCTGTTGCCAATTGTTGAGATCACAAACAGTATGCTGCATCGAATGGAAAGCGATATCAGATTGGGGCACAGAGGGGTAGAGGGGGCCAAGGTGTGGGAGAAGGTTCGGGAGCGATTAAACTGGTGAGTGGGAAATTAAAGAAGGTTTCCCTCGAATGTGGGAGTCGCGTGGGCTTTATAAGTGGGTCAACGAATTGCAGTTCGGAAAGGTGAACTTCTTGGATGAATGCGTGAAGCTTCGGTTCTTTAATATCAGTTGTAGACAATCAGTTCCTTAACTGATATAATTTATATCCTTTTAGTGCGATCGTAAATCTGACTGGAATCAGGTGGATTCTGTCCACTGAAGAAATAAATATTTTATTTTTGACAATTCACCAAAGGGTTGTTTGTAAGTTTTATTAATTGTTTAGAACATAATTAAAAATTATTTTAATCTCAAATATGTGAATTTTTTACTGTTTGGTTTTTAAATCTCTTCTCCCAAAGACAAAACCGCAGATTAAATTTATCGAATATATTCATTTAAACAAGGCAACAAATTCTTTAATTATATATTATTTTTTTTTTTTAAATGGGGCTAGAATTTTATTTAACCATTTCTTTCGTTTTTACTCTCCTTTTTAAATCGCTGTTTCCACAATTATGATATTAAGCCTTGAAAAACCAAACCTAGTGATTGTCCTGTTTTTAAAATGTAACCAGGTTATATTAAAAATAGTCCCTGATGGTATTATATTAATAACTTAATAAATTTCAGTTCAGTGCTAAATAAAACACTTTCTACGCCTTGACTTGCTGTGGGATCCGCTCATAATCGGTTAATGGAATCTCTGACACTTTGAAAATGTGAACTCTACAATGAACCAAAAAGTTCAAATTCCAAGTGAATGTGATGGAATCGCAGACAGCGGCAGGGAAATCAGAGATGATGAGCCCAGCATGATTTATAGGTATTTATAACAGAAATTTACGGCCGAATAAAGAATCAAGCAGCGACACCCACACCTTCAAATCGATTGATTAGGTTAGACTTGAAAAGTGTTACAGAATGTAAAGGCCTAAGTTGATAAGCTTTGTCTGTTAAGTCTGAATAATATTGAATCGAAAACGTGGGAGGTAATCATCAACCTTATCATCAAGGTTAAAATTGGATGGGGTTATTTGCTCGTTATTTCACTCACCTGTAAACAGTGATGGACAACCGGTGGCCATCATTGAAAACCATATCCTTGGTCAGTTGAAATGTTCCATTCGTGTTATTCGCGATTGGCCAGTCATTTTCTTGTTGATCATTTGCTTGGGACACTTCCATTTTTGAACCAGGAAGTACACTTTGTTTACAGTTTTAGAGTTTCTTTTGGTATTTTTTAATCATTCAAAGAATTTTTTAAGCTAAAGTAGAAAAACATTATTCACATTAAATTGGTTTTTGCCTTTTTTTTAACCTTTTTATAATATTTTTGTTGTCAATCTGTAATTAATTTTTCATTGGCAAGTATAAACATTAACAAACAAAGATTTATCAAGAACTCATAGCAGAACTGTTTCTAAAAATTGATTAAAAAGTGCGGCTTAGCGCTTCATTCACATTGGTTTGGGGGCTTGTCAATTATTTGAGAAACAAATTGGTTTGTGTACGACTTTTTTCCCTGTTTTTCGTCGGCACAAACAATTGATTGAGATAATGCAATGATGAACAACACAAACAAAAATCCCTATCTTGTCTGGGCAGACACTCACTCAATTAAACGAATCTATTACACTCAATTTGACAATAAACACTTTTTCGATTGCTTTGGATTTGTAGGTTCAAGAACTTTGTTATTATTGTATTGTTATGATTTTCGTTTTGTTTGTTGCACCGTTTTTTAGGTGCTAAAGCTGTCGATGACCTTGAACTAATTACGCTCGCACCGCATTGTAGTATTTAAATTTCCAATTGATAATAAAAATTCCATTTATGCTGGCTTCTCCGGCTCTGTGCTTTTCTAGAATTGATACAACTATTATTATTAAGGAGAGCATCTTACGCTCTCGCTGGCTTATTAATCTGTTAATCAATTTCGCTCAATCGAACGAGAGTTCACTCAATTGAACGGCAAAAGCAACAAAAAACTTCGACAAATTGTTCTCGCATTAATCCTTCAGTCGAATTATTTTACGGGTTGTTTGTTTAGACGCGCCGCGTTTGCTGCCCTTTGAACTTGGCGTTTTAATGTGTCCAAACTAATTTTTGAACAAAATAAAAGATAACAAATAGACCGAAATGTAGTTCCAAATTATTTTGGCAACCTTGAGAGCACTACAAAATTGTGTTGAATTCCATGGTGACTAAACGTTCAACCTCGTTGACGACTCACAGAATCCCCATTTTATTTAAGCGAATCCCCTCGAAGATTACAGAGCGATTGAAATAGTCCCCTTCCAGCTAATCGATCGGCTAGCATATATACTTATTGTAGGCGTAATCATTGATTGCGAGTACGTGCTGTTCAATTTCTTTTCTTCTATATACAACTGTATTTCTTGATTCTGTTTTTCTTCCTTTTGTGATTTCCGTTTTGTTTCGCTTTTTCTAAACACGCGGGCACTCCGTGAACTGGCCAATACTATATAGATATGGGGGATTTCAACCTAAGTTGAACATCTTGCCGTTTGGAATTTGTTCTTTATTTTTTTGCACACACCTCCCAGCAGCGTCAAATAAAACGTTCTCACTGCCAACCACCCACGCCCACACGCGCGTAATTATCGCTATCGATGACACGAAGACTTTCTAACGGCACACGGTACTAACGGTACTTCAGGTTCACACCGATCGGCGAGCAGGAACTGACTGAATCGACTGCCCGGGATGCTGATGCCGCGAAATCGAAATCTCGACAACAACTGATAACTCAGCCGTAGGAACTTTTGATGTCCCGACCGAAGAATACCCGGCCTTCAGTCGGTTATAGTTATTGAATACCTCCCGATGTAAGATCCTGAAGTCAAAAACTTGAGCGTAACAAGCTCAAAAAACAAATCATACTTGTAACTTTAAAATGTGGTGAAGCGTATTTAATTTGGGATCTTCTTGGGAATTTGCAAATCTTTCAAGATTTTAAGTTTTGCCAATAAAGAAACATTTTGGATATTTATCCTTTTATGTGGAAAATCACTTCCCTAACTAGGTTTCCTAGATCCCGATTTCCGTACCTACCAGACAGACTGCTGCAACTTTTTCACACTTACAATAGACCTTTCCACTTCTCGAGTACCAGGTACGAAATGTTAGGGCCGTTGATAACAGCGGGCGACCCCAATAGCCAGTGGTTCTGTGTGTTCGCAGGTCCCGCCCGCATAAATTTCACGATTATCAATGCGTGTGCACGACTCAAAGTTCAAACGGTGGTCCGTCTGATCGCCAAATGCTACGAATCCTTATCAAGCGAGTGAGTCGCGTCTCACCCAGAACAAGTAATTAAATTAGAATTACTTATAGGCCTTATCGGAGCTTTCCTCCCCCGAACCGAAGGGCTGAAGCTCAGTGTGGATATCCTTTTCTTCGGACTGCGACACCTCTGATCCTGTTGAACTTCCACTGGCATCTGCCGCAAGTCCACTGCCAAGGCTTACAATTTAACCTAGCACCGAGGTCATTCGATTCGCAATTCGACAAAACGGTTCATTAAATTTAATGAGGGCACAAGAATGGACAAAAGGATTCAAGTTCACGTTCAGGAGCGCAGTGTTGTATGCTACGAATGTGGCGTGTGCGCGGCCTTATCAAGATGCACCTGGCCAAGCTGATAAGACACCAGTCGACGGGTTATAATGAGCGGTCAGGTAGCAAGTGCATTAACTGCTCTAAATTGCAGCTTTAAGTGAGACGATTAGTTTTATATTTTGCTTAAAACTCACACTGCCTCAAATTGTATGCCTAAAATTATGCAGTGGCTTTCTAACAATATAAACCTTAGCTTTAGAAAAAAGGATATTATCCATAAGATTGTGTTATCCATGGTATTTATCTGCAGTAAAACAGGATACCGAAAAATATTTATTAGGATACAGCTTAAAATTTTAAGTTCAGTCTAAGTAACATATTAGATTTAATAAGCCTAAGCGATTTTCGAAAACTATTTGATGGCGTTTTTAAGGAATTGTGTCTAAACATAACTATAAAATTAATGAAAGACGGTTTTATTATTATTTAATAGAGGCTTGAAAAAGCAACAAAAGTATCTTGAAGCTAAAAAACGTAAGGTTCTTAATATGGTAATATCAATATGAACGGTACGAGGGAAAAAGGCGTTTGAAAAACTGCCGTAAGTGTCATTTTATATGATTTTGCTTCTGCTTCTGCTTTTGAAAAAATTAGAAGTCTCAGTCGAAGCATAGCACTGCCTACAGAGAGATTGATTAAAGAAAATCTTTCATAAATGGTACATTATGTAATGAAGTCACAAATTATAAAAATTAAAATAACTTCATTTCATGAGTAAAAACGTTCTCAATTAAATTATGTTTGTGTCTTATATTTTAGTTTTAAAGTCACATAGACTCGAATTATTTATTATTATATATTCATATTTCTACAAATTATCTACATGTGTAAAAACTCTGCCTTCATAAAATACCATTTGATGGCCAGTATTTTTTGAGTGCATCTGAGAAAAGGTGTTTTAAAAGACCAGCAACGGTCACACTTAAGTTCCCATGTGGAAAACTAGGTTTTCTCTTTCACTTTTCAAATTATAAATGAAATTATAGCAAAATGCTGCGAAAATCAAAGAAAGAGCCCCAAACGGTGGCTGATAAAGTCAGCAAACTACTGGCCCACCCAAACGAGAGCGACAGCGAAGAGGACTCGGATTTCGACGTGGCCACCGGACCCCGTCTGGTGGATTTCGTGGAGGAGTACGACCTGCCAGATGCGCGGAGCACCGACTTCAGGAAGCGGAACGTCAAGCTGCTCTCGGAGCAGAGTGATAGGTATAAAGGCAAGATAAGCAGCCGCAAGGAGCTAAATGAGGAGGACGAGGACCAGGAGTTATCCTACGAGGAAAGCGATGAAGATGATGAGGACATGGCTGACTTTAAACAGCAGCTGCAGACTGGAGATCCAGAGGAATCCAATGAAGATGAAGGTTCCGAAGAAAGTGTGGATGAAGGTGAGGCAGATGAAGATGACAGCCAAGACAGTGAAGGAGAGGATGAGGACGATGATGGTAGTGAAGAAGTCGATACTGACGATGAAGACGCAGAGAATGACACCATCAAACCCGAGGATGTTATGTCGAAAACCAACCACCAGGCGGAAATCCAAAAAGGACTCTGTGTCCAAAACCAACTCCGCATTTGGGAGCGTCTCCTCGAGCTGAGGATCAACACCCAGAAGTTCACCAGCAAAGCGAATAAGCTGCCGGCACCGGAGGTATTGAAGGAACTGGGTTCGGAAAATGAGGAGCTGCAATCGGTGCTAAACGAGGCCCAGGAGCGCTCCTCCAAGCTGCTAGAGCAATTGCTTGCTCTCCAGTCAGCTCTCCACCAACAAAACTCAGAGATGAGGAAGTCGGTCAAGCGCAAGCCAGCTTCTGAGGATGCGGGTCCACCTGCCAAACGGTTTGGTTCTGTACTGCGGAACAACTTCCAGCAGATGACAGGATATCGCAATGAAGTACTGCTCAAGTGGGATGATCGCACCAAACTGTTGACCCCCGGGGCGGGGCTAAAGCGCAAGTCCCTGCAGGAGGACTACGACATCATCAAAAAGATCGACAGCGCCCTGGCCAACCGGGAAGCGCTCGTTGAGAAATCACAGACGCCAAAGAGCAATCAGGCCGAGCAGCAGGAGAATGAGCCGGTGCAGCGGTTAAATCACATCTACGACGACAGCGACTTCTACCACCAGCAGCTTCGGGAGCTCATCGAGTACAAGGCCAGCACCTCGTCAAACATGAGTGAAATTACCAAGCAGTTTGTGGAGCTGCAAAAGCTGCGCCAGAAGATGAAAAAGAAGGTGGATACGAGGGCCAGCAAAGGGCGAAAGTTGCGGTAAGTCAATGCGATTTAATAAAGGAAATAAATAAATAACTTACAACTTAATATACCTGCCTTCAGATACGTGGTGCACAACAAACTAATCAACTTTATGGCTCCAAACGAAACCAGCGACTGGACGGATAGCTCCAAATCCGAGTTGTATAAATCGTTGTTTGTCTAGAAATTATCTATATGTACAGAAATATTATATATGAAATTTTTATTTAGGTAAAAAATATATTAAATATTATAACAATTTTAAAGGTTTTTGAATTTAATAACTCCATTTTATTTTTACTTCAAGCTAATTAAAATATTCTCGTTTAAAAAATAAAATTACCCCACCATAAATTAATTAAATAAAAGAATATAATTTTGAATTTGACTTTATTTTATATATTTATTTATTTATGTATATTTTCATTTGTTGTTTACTTTAACTGCTAAATTTGTATGTTCAACATTTCATTTTCGTTATTAATTCTTATTTGTTCTCAACTGGGTATTTATGCAGCGAGTGCATAACAATATGGCTTGAATATAACCGCAAACGTTCGAAATTACCGCTTCATAACCGTTTCGTTTAGTGGGTGTTTGTGTTTTGGAGATTGTGTACTGTTATGTATTATTTGCTGGGATCTCTCGAGTTGCGTTTTTAATTCGATTCGATACATATAAATTAGTTTTAATAATTTTTTAATGTATTAAACTAGTTGTCCACTGATGCACATACTTGACTTTTTTTAAATTTACTTTGCTAGTCTCGTGTTTACTTGGACTTCGTTCCATTTATAAAAGTTTCTCTTCGTTTACTTTACTTTAGCTTTATATTCAATATTGGTTTCTTAGTGTGTTTTCGTCGTCTAAGTCATTGTTAGTTATGCATACGTTAATTTTTATATTTATAAATATCATGTATAATGTTAGTAAATCAGTGCATAACTGCAATAAAGGGAGCCTTGTGAGGAGAATTTGAAATCGAAGGGGGTCGAAATACAATTCAATAAATAAACATTTAAATTTACGCCTAGGGTTTAGAGAATACAAAAGGTTTTTCTAAAAATACTATAAAAAGTTCGAGCACATTTACAAAATAATCTTTGTGACACTTGTTCGATAGAAATGCTTTGATTTTTCTTTGGGAAATGAGTTTTGGGAGTATTCGTTAGCAAGCTCTCATTAAAAATTAATTAACAATCAGCTGAAAGTGTATAGAGCACATAATATCATCGTTACATTTAAATACTAGACATAAATGTATATTGCACTTGAATGCGCACGAGAATCATCAAATAAGACCTACGTGAGGGGCACTGGGACGCGAACAATTTTGATGAAAATACTGGGAATAGGTTTATTCTGGTTTTGGTTCGAACTTACCAAAAGACGCTACGACAGATAAATGAGGGGGTTGGGGGATTGGGGGAGCACGAGGGTTCCTCCTAGCGCGTTCCTTGTATACAAACTACCAATATAAAGATTACAAAAATGCCACTGACTAAATTCTCTCTCTTTCGTCATCTTCCTCCTGGATTTTCTCTAATTGTTAATGGAATTCTTCAGCAACAGGGGCAGCCCGGTTTTGGTTTTTGATTTAGAAACGAGTATCGTGGCGGTTTTGGCACCACCAGATCCGGCTGCAGCTGCAGCAGCTGCTTCAGCGGCGGCGGAATTACGCCTGGGGGCCGCCTGCCGCTGATGCAGCTCCTGCAGCAGCGCCGAGTGCTTGTCCAAGGCCTTCAGCTGGGCCGTGTTCTGGGTCTCGTAGAGCGACGACTGCAGCTGGGTGTGGATCGAGGTAACGTTCGAGAGCGTACTCTCTGCCTCGGCCGTTGGAAAATTGCTTAAATAACGTTTACTAGTCGTGCTTCCTGTTGTTGTCGATGATGTCGTTGTAGTGTTTATCATTGTAGTCTGTTCCTGCGCTGAAACCTGAAAGGGAATTCAATCAGCACAGCGGCATTCGAAAGAAAAGTGCGCCAAACCTTTCGCATAGCCGCCAACTCTGTGTCTCAAGTGCTCTTGGCTAGTTGTAAAACACTCTCCATATCCTTCTGCACCCCATATAGCTCCGAAAGTTGCTTGGCGAACACAACATTTAGGTCACTCAATTTAGCAAGCTGTAAAATGTTATACTGGTTATATATATGACATTTTAAAAATCCAGAAGTTTGACTCACAGTCTGATCATTGGCCTTTTCGCGTAGACTAAGGTTGGCCGTCTGAAGCTCAATTTCCTGTTGCAAGAGGTCCTTCTGCAGTAGTTCCATCCGCGCCTTGAGCGTGACCACCTCGCGACGCAACTCGTCCTCCGTGGCGCTTCCTCCTCCACTTGCCGCGCCCACTCCACCCCCGCCCACGCAGAGCTGCTCCATATCCCGCTTGAGGCGAATGTTCTCCTCCTTGTAAGTGTGCAGCTGGCGCTTCCATTCGTCCACATTGGCAGTTGATTCCTTAGGAATGAAAACATTTAAGATTTAATTAAAAAAGGGATTCGAGTTTAAAAACTATTGTTTAGCTATGCAGCTAATAGGAAGCTCACCTGCAGAGCACTGGTCAGGCGAATGTTATTGTTCTTCAGGGTGGCCAGTTCGATCTCCCACTTTTTGGCATTGGCGCAGCTGAAAAAAACCGGAAATCGGTAATGACACGTTATAAGGCAGCCAATCCATTGCTCACCTTTGTGCCAGGGCCATTTTCAGACGCTCGTTCTCGTACTTGAGCTGCTGCTCGGCAGTGGCGCCCGCTCCCGGACCCGTATGCATTCCAACAATGCTGCCTCCAGACGAGATGGTCACTCCCCCTCCGCCGCCGCCTGCAGTTCCGCCCGAAGTGGGCTGCGGCGAGGGCGTTGCCGATCCGATGTCCGTCTTCACATCGCTGGTGTTCAGCAGCTTGTGGGAGGGACTGTCCGGATTGGCGTTCTGGGTGTTCGTATTGCTCAGGTTTGGCGGCTCCACGGTGTGCGGATCGATGGCTGTGTTGTCGTTCTGCATGGAGCCCACAGCTCGCCCGGAAATGGGCGACGTGTTCGCCGAGGTGGTGGGCGTGACGGCGTTCGAACCGTTGGCCGACTTCATGGCATTCTTGGTGGCCTCCTTGACCTCCTGGAACTTTTCCACGAACTGTGAATGGAGGAGGGTTCAGTCAGGGAGCAAAAGAGGCAAAGATTAGCAACCCACCTTGGTCAACTCAGCCTCGGAGGCGAATCCCAGCCCGTAGACCGTGTTCGCCCGCACATCGCTCCACTGGCCGAACTTCTGGGAGGTTTGGGTGAAGGTCATGTTGGGCGTAATCGTCGAGTTGATCACCGCCTTGGTGCCCTCGACACTGATGATGCGGTACAGGTTCCTGGAGCTGTCGTAGAAGAAGCTCACATTGACCGCCTTCATGCTGGCCGTGATCCAGGTGCGCTTCGTCTTCGGATCGATGTGGAAGACGTGCGCCTGGCAGGTGAAAATCGGTTGCTCGCTGTGGGCCGTAAAGAGATTTAAATGGCAGGGGTGTGATTAATTAAAAATTCCATTTCGAGGAGGTAATAAATCGGGCGCCACCTGTGTACGCATGTGTGGCTATTAGAGGCGAGTAATTACAAAACGCGGGTGTCAGAAGTAAAAGTACTTTTGGGCACCGCTTTTATATAGAAATATCAAAATTAGTTATGTAGGGTCTAATATTATATTATAAAAAATATCAAAAAATTGTACAATTATCTTTCGACGTGGACTTCGGTTCTTCGTTTAACAATAAATTAATTTATGAAGTCCTTGTTAGTTCCTCATCCAGGCTAGTTTGTTGTTATCTCAAGTAACTTTGTTATTTAACTAAAAAAAAAGTTATTCAACTTTCTCTGGACTTTTATTAACTTCTCTTTAGAACTTGCACTGAAGGATTTGGGGTACATTCTGCTTTAGATTTCATACACGGTGTTTATTCTTTTGGGTCTTGAAAAGGTTATTTTTTGCACTAAAGAACTCCCGTTTGATTTCGATTGGAGTTGTACGATACACGATTCTGTTTGCAATCTTATCTTTTATCTGTTACCTATCCGCCGACATTGCTTGTTGAGGTTCTAATTCTAATGTCTTTCCGTTATCGCTGGCGACTGGTGACCGCCGACTAAATTGCATTATGTGCTAAGCCTTTTCGGCAGCCTTGCTTTTGATTTTTTGATTCTCAGGCGGAAAACACACGCACACACCTGCAGGCCCACGCACACCTGCATTTGTACACCCACACATAATTGGCCTGCCCACGCGTGTGCGAGTATGTGTGTTTGTGTACATATTTACGCCGCCCGCTACACACAGAACGCCAGCAACAACAACAATAAGAATATCAGCTAGTACGGCGTCGATTTTTCCCACACTGAAAGCGGCAAGTTTAAGGCGGTTTTAACACGCCCACCGGCCTTACCCCATTGTATTCGTTGGCTTCGACGCTGGCTGAGTGCTTTGGCAACGGGTTAAACCTATGCTAGTTGCTTTTACTGATTAATTTCACGATTAAAAAAAATAAAACACAAACGCCTGCAAATCCAGTGTGACCGCGCCTTTTTTCTTGTAATATACTTTTCTAGTGTGAAATATGAACTAAAAATGCCAACCAATTGGCCCTCTATTAAAAGGTGCTGCCGATCTAGCCCTTTTTTTTAGGCTATATCGTAAAAAAATTTTGCTGACAACATTATGACAGCAATCATGGCGAGAAGCTCGTATATTTAATATACAATAGTAAAAGAATTGGGATCGAAAGCTATAACTATAACGTAATTAAAAATTAATATATAGGAAATTTAATTTAAGTCAAAACGTAAGTGAACGAGGTTGACACTTTGAAATTCTTTCTTTCCTTACAGTTAAAAGTTATTATTATTAATCTATCACATTAATGAAATAAAATTAAAATAATTTTAAATTTAGTTGGTATTCTGTCAAATTTTGTGAGCAACAAAGTTAACTTTTTTAAACCAAAATCACTTGCAGTGTAAAAATTTTTCATATATCTGAAGTTGGTTTAAATTTCACACAAACACTTTCCCAATTGTATTTTCGTCGTTTGCAATTCGTCTACTTATTCAAAATAACAGCCAAATCAATTTTATTAGAAGTTCGAAAAATGTTATTTACATGTTTGTGCTGCCAGACGACTAGCACGTTTTCTGTTGGGTGGCAACTATTAATTTTATATCGATTTCTGGGGTGCCAGAAAGGTTGTCATTGGCGTTACCAGACCAATTCGGCACTTCCATCTCTA